CGGTACGAGCAATCCCACAAGACAACAGTAAAGCGCCCATCTCGGGGCACCAACTGGAAGGGTGTGGAAGATAGGATTGTGAAGAAGCATGTCGAGCAAGCTGTTGTTCGACAGCTGTCTCGGGCTGCCGGCGGGGACAAAACCTACGAGACAGCCATGAAGGAGGTGAGACTGAATACAACCCAAAGCCGTTTCAATCCACCACTTGTCCCCCCTTGCTCCAACTGCCGACTACCCTCCATGACCTCCTGTTTTAAAGCTAAACCTTGCCTATCCTCTTGAGCCCCGCTGGCCCTTACCCGACTACCATAAACTTATGACATCCCGTTCTGCACTCCCATGCTCCCCCACGGGGCCTCACATGGATGTTTAACCCGTTGCCCCCTCTTGTCATCTCTTAAATGCCCCCAGATGCTTCCCCATTAGTCCACCCACCAACCTTCGTCTTGCTGCCCCTCTTGACATCCCGTTCTGCCCCCACATGCTTCCCCACTTGTCCACCCACCGACCTTCCTCCTGCTGCCCCTCTTTGCTTCCCGTTCTGTCGCCTACATGCTTCCCCACTTGTCCACCGACCAACCATCTTCTTGCTGCCCCTCTTGACATCCCATTCTGCCCCCACATGCTCCCCCACTTGTCCACCCACCAAGTGTCCTCGTGCTGCCCCCCTTGACATCCCGTTCTGCTCTCAAAAGATCCCCCGCTTGTCCACCCATGAACCTAAACCCTCCTGCTATACCCCTCGCCCACTCGAACTTCCCACCCTTGCTCCACCACTGGCTAAACCATCCAGCCCATCTTTGTAATTCGTTGAGCCCCCCCCCCCGCTTGGCACTTGTCCCCCTATTCACATGCCTACTGTTGCTGCCCCCTCTGACCTCTCGTACTGCCCCCTATTCCCACCCACTCGTCCCTAATCACTGCTCCCTCCTCCTGTTGTCCCCATTGCACTTCAATTGCTGCCTTGTTATGCCGCCATGTAAACCATGCATCCATCACCTTCCTACCCAGGCTTGCACGCTTGGGCGCCGGGTGATGACAAAGACACACAAGAAGATGACCGTGGGGAACATCCTCGATGATGTATTCAGGAGCTACGTCCTCCTTCACGGAGATGAAGCGATGGGCGCCCTGAAGAAGCGGCTGACCATGGAGGGAATCCGCGAACAAGTGCTCAGTGTGAGAATCATAAGATTGCCCCCTGCAATGCAGACCTGCCACTACCATCCTGTTAAACGCAAGCAGTCTTAGACCAGTTGTAATGGGAAAACCCAGCCATGGAAACCCGTTGTATCAACGCACCACTTAGCAACTCATCCTTGAGAAATCTAACACGACCCTTCCATTGTTTTGTTGCGTTCCATGTTTGTTTACTCGCAGGTGCACACAGCCATGGCAATCCCACCGCACGACAGAATGGAGTGGACCGAGAAGGGGCAGTTTGTCAAAGCAAGCCCTGCTGAGAGGCACTTTTCAGATGTGGCCATAAACCCATCTGGCAAAGGGGCCAACTGGTACGGCCGTTGCTTGATGCTGTTCCATTACGTGAAAGATGGCGTGGCAAAAAAGGCCGCCTACATAGAGTACTACACGGAGGATCGGCGCGTCTGCCGCTACACAGGCTGCAAGCGACTGCTGCCCACGAAGGGCACTTACAACTATGCAGTTGTAGATGCAGATTGCATTCTTAGCATCGTGCATGTCGTCCCATGCTGCAAAGACCCTGATGTGAAGCTCCTCAATAGGTTCATCTGGTAATGCCTTCAAAATTGCGACTGTTTTTCTAGACTATAACATCGTATAATTGTGATACTCCTATTCATGAAGCCTTATGTATTGTCTCAACAAACAACATTTGACACATCAACCATCAAAACATTGGTAATCCATTACTAAAACATCAACAAAACATTTGGGTAGTACAAAATGATATCCGAATGATATGTAGATGATTTCTGAAAGATTGTCAAACGTTTTTTAAACCCTTGGTAACAAACCAAACGGTCGAATGTTTTCTAAACACACACATTTTTGTGATGGGGGAGTGCTGCTGGGGCGGGCGGAGGCCATAGGGGATGCCTGGAGTGTTAACGATGGGTGGACGGGGCCCGGGGGCGGTTGACAAGCTGGATCTCGCCAAGGCGAGAGTCGGTTCGGGACGAGGAGTCGCGTGTAGGAATCTCTTGAGTCATGCGCAGGCGATAAGTGAAGTGAATGGTGGCATTGAGCAGCTGGGCGCCACCAAGGTGGGAGTTGCTGAGATTCGGTGAGGAGTGGGTGAAAGTGGCTGGGCTGGGGGATGAGATGGCTGGAGGGAGGTCACAGCAGGACAGGTGAGTTAAGAAGCTGGTTGCAGCCAAGGTGGGACCCGTTCCGCCATCTTCCCTCAACTACCTTCCCCTCCCTCCCAGACTCTGATTTCCTCTTTCCATCCAACTCCCATTCGCAACCCCCCTTTCCCCATCCATCCAGAATCGCATGTGTGATTCCTGTCCTACACCAACGCCTTGTGACTCCTTCATATCTGCCTCTACCCGCTCCTCCGCTTTCCCCGCTTTTCCACCCTTCTTTCCCGCTCTCCCCTCCCCCAACCTCCCCCCCCCCCTCCCTCCCCCCCTCTCCCCCCTCCCCGACCAGTTCCAGTTCTACACCTGCGTCCCATACACCGAGAAAAAAAGCCCCTACAGCACTTTCTCCCACATCTCCACCCTAGCTCTGCATCGGCTTCCTTTATACGGACTCCTGGACCACACGTTCGCACCCTTATGGCACTGTCTCCCACATCATTCTCACAAGCCACTGCCATTTTTCCTCCTTTCCCTCCGCCTCATTCCCTCCCAGATCTGCACCGCACCTGCTTCTCCTAGACCCACGTCTGCCCCACTGCATGGAGTTGGGACCCCACAACGCGGGCACACTGTTCATCCAGGCCCAAGGTACTATCCCCTCCCCTCTCCACTCCATACCCCCTCCCACCCAACCCTCCTTCCCCACCCCTCCCAGCTCCGCACCTTCCTCTCCCACATCAATGTCTGCTACTACTAGTAGTGGGCCTATGTTCTTCTCCATCACTACTAGTGAGCCTGTTGCATGCCGTCGGTTTTCGTCTTGATGGACGAGAAGATGAGGTGAGGTTAGGCAGGGCTACTGGGTTCCCAGGGTAGAGCAAAAGGAGAAGCAGATGTGCTGGTAAGAGTAGTAATGTGGCTACTGCTCTCATAGACATATGTGCTCATGCCGGAGTGGTTATCGGGACAGACTAGAAACCTGTTGGGCTCTGCCCGCGCAGGTTCGAATTTTGCTGAGCACGAGTCAGTTTGTGGTCGGTTCGCTATGATTTTTGTATCAATATTGTTTTGCACTTCACAGTGCGACATCACATTGAAGTGCAGTGATTATTCAGATAACATATCAATTGCCTAGTGGTCACCCTATTGGAAGAATTTCGGCATGGCGATGCGACTATCGCTCCACACAAGGCAGCGCGCTGGATCTGTGACGTTTGTCGCACTAAAGTATGTCGCACTGAGGTCTGACTCACTGGGGTCTGTCGCACTGAGTTCACTCACCCCAGTGTGCACGTAGGCTGATCCGACAAGATTCCTGCCCACACCACTCACTCCGTTCCCCATCCCGCTCTCTTCGCGCTTCTTTTGGCGCCTCGAAAGCCCTTTGCCTCCCCGCGTCCCGCATTCTGCTCCCCATTCCAATCGCTGTGCATAGAGACGTTACCCTAGATCCGTGCTCTCCGTTGCTCTTAAACCATTCCGTCTCACCAACCGCGTTACTCCCTTTCCTTCTTGTTTCCCCGTGTCCCTCCTCCTACCCCTTGCTCTCCCTGTTGCGCCACTCTGTTCCAGTTAGGAATGAGACTATTAGTGGCAGAGAGGAGAGTGGGAGCTGAAACTGAAGTCCCATTTTTTTGCCAAGATCTGCTTCGCAATTTTCTTTGTGGCTGCGAGAGGCCAACATCGCTGGCGAGGTCGAATTCGCGAATTGCGACTTCCCATTCAGCTGTGAAATGTGGATCTCGACAGATGCGAACGTAATGTCAAGTTACCCTGCTTTGCGGATTCCAAGGAGGCACGAGTTTCGTGCGATAGTTGCGTGGCATGCCAGCAGGGCGTGGTGAGCTCCCAAAAATCTCGCCAGGTCTGCCAGTCAAACGAATCAGGACAGCGGCTGACCCTGTTTGACGAACAACGACCTCTTCATTCGCTGCCGCAATAACGGAAACGAAACGAAACCCTAACAACCACTACAGGCGATTGATACATAGTGCTTTCAGCATACGGATTATGGCAGACCAGGGACTTAGTGATCGAGCTGGGACGTACCTTTTTGCGATCTAATACTGTAACAAGGTCGACTAATAAGGTCGAGTAATAAGGTCGAGTTGACACGTTCCATCGTACGAGCTGGCAAGATGTCAGTAACGTGTTGTTCAGCATTCAATTTCGTTTATGGTATGTCAGAACAGTCATAACATCGGATTAAAGAAGGGAGACATCACTCTCGCACCTCTTCCCCCGCCCCACTTACCCTCTTACTATCGCACATTCCCCCTGTGTGACGCCGCCGCCAACATTGCGAGAAGCGCGAATGCGCGATTGACAGCAGGAGGCATTCGCGAGAGAAACGGCAGATACTACTGTCTCCCGCTCTCCTCCCGCAGCCCCCTGCCCATTCCTTGCACCCAAGGAAACGCCTTGATTCCTTACTCAGCCCTTCTTTCGGACTGCGCTGTGATGAATCTCCAAGGATATTCTCAGGAGGAACGCCTCTCTTGCTTAGTCGTTTGGATTCCGTATGAGGTGACGCCGTATTTCACCAATTCTGCTGTTCGTCATCCCTCATGCGGCTTCCTATTGGCGGCAGTGACTAAAGCCGAGGAAGTCGTAGCGCCGCGTGGATTGTGAGAGGCGAGAGGCGGCGACGCGAGCATCGCAGACGTCGGAGCTGTACGAGCAGCGAATTGGAGGGCGAGCGGCACGAGTCAAATGGCGAACGGCACCGTCAGGTGACGGTGCTGGTGGGAGAATTGTCATCTCCCTCCCTGCTCCTCTCCCCCATTCTTGTTCCCCCCTGCTCCTCGCCGACTTTTGCTCCTTATTCTCTGTCTTTGCTTGTTGTGGGGAATAACAATATCCATTCACTATGTACCCCTTCCGACACATCTTGAAACATCAAAATTCCCTTCTCTCTTCCTCCCCTCCCCTTCTCCCACGTCCCCCCTCTCCCCCCCCTTCCCCCACCTATCCACCCCACACTCTCCCCCCCTCATGCTACCTGCCATCCTCTCACAGGAGAACTCGGCGTAGCACGCGCAGGCAGTGGATCCAGGCGGCCATTTCGTCGTCTTTTCGCCGCCGTCCAGACGGCCTTAGCCTTCGCCACCAGCAGGTAGCCGAGCAGGTGCCATTCTGCTGAGAGTGATGTATATCTGGGTGCTGCATGGCTGGGTGCTGCATGGCTGGGTGCTGCATGGCTGGGTGCTGCATGGCTGGGTGCTGCATGGCTGGGTGCTGCATGGCTGGGTGCTGCATGGCTGGGTGCTGCATGGCTGGGTGCTGCATGGCTGGGTGCTGCATGGCTGGGTGCTGCATGGCTGGGTGCTGCATGGCTGGGTGCTGCATGGCTGGGTGCTGCATGGCTGGGTGCTGCATGGCTGGGTGCTGCATGGCTGGGTGCATGGCTGGGTGCTGCATGGCTGGGTGCTGCATGGCTGGGTGCTGCATGGCTGGGTGCTGCATGGCTGGGTGCTGCATGGCTGGGTGCTGCATGGCTGGGTGCTGCATGGCTGGGTGCTGCATGGCTGGGTGGCTTACACGCATGGCTTGCCGTCACCTTCCCGCAAATTGCACGCGCACGCCGGTCCCAACCCAACCTGGACCAGTTTCCTTCCCCTGCCTTCTGTCATAGTACTACCCGCAGCAGCACGGTAGACAACAAACAGTGCTGTGCGTATAGGCAGCATAGGTGCCTCCCGCAATATGACTTGCAGCAGCACGCCAGGCAGCACCGGTGGGAGTATCTGGACTCCACATGGCAGCAGCAGCAGGAGCAGGGGTTTCAGGCTTTCAGCAGTGCCAGCAACGATAGGAGCGGCAGTGGCAGTAGACGTGGCGTCGACGACAGCCTGTCGCTAGGAGGGGTGAAAGCACATTGTGACTGTGGCGTCCACGAAACGCGCCGTCGGTAAGTCCACCACCTGTGCGCCTCCCCACCCACCTCACTGCCTCCCTCCGCTTCACCCTCCCCTCCTCACTCCCCATCTGCCTCCGTGTCCCGTCCCTAACCCCTTCCCAACCCCCCTACCCTCCTTCTTCCTCCCCAACCCCCTTCGCTTCCTACTCCCCATTTCGCTCCCCTCCCATTCATGGGTTGACCATGGGCTGCCACACACCTTCCACACACGCTCTGCTCATCGCCATCTCCTTCCATTCAGAAAGTTTCCTATCAACCCGCTCCTCTCCTTCAATATCTCTCACCTCATGCACCTCACCCTTTTTCTTCTCCCTGGATGCCTTTCAACCTATACCTCTCGCAACCTAACCTTCCTATCTCCCCCTTCCCCCCATCCCCGATTCAATCCCTCCCCCCATTCCCCCATATCAACCTCTCCCCATCCCCCCTCCCCCGTCCCCTTCCAACCCCCCTCCCCCTATTCCTCCATCTCCCCGTCCCGGCATCCCCGGTCTCTTGCAGTGAACTTCGCAGAAGCACTCGCCCGCCACATGCGCCTGCAGGTGAGGCTGCTGGACACCCATGTCTCCACCCATCACGTGCGGGTGGGCCACGTGTTCGGCCCCTCACTGTCCAACCTGGGTCAACACCCCCCCTGCTCGCCTCGCCCGGCGCGCTCGTGCCCATGCTGCCGCTGCTGGCGCACGCTGTGCTCTGCATGTCCATGGGCTTCCTCATGCCTGCTCACATGGCCGCCCTGTGGCGGTGGTGGAGAAGCTTGTAAAGGGGACAGTGAGGGGGCTGCTGGACGTGCTCGTGGTGGACATGCCGCCCAGCTCGTGGTGACGTGCAGCTCATCTTGGGCCAGCGCGTCCGGTTGTTAGGTGCGTGGCAGATGGATTTGATGGGTTTGGATAGGGGGTTAAGAGGGAGGGAAGGAAAAAGGGATAGGATGGGAGGGGAGGGGAAGGGAGGGGAGGGGATGGGATGATATGAGATGACATGGGATGGGATGGCATGACATGAGATGGTATGGGATGGGATGGGATGAGATGGGATGTGATGGGATGGGAGGAAGGTGCAGCTTCTAGATGCTACACTGCCTGCTCATGCTCCCAGCGCTACTTGTGATGTCCACACACCTCCTTCCTTCTCCCACCTGCACCCTCTTTCCCGTTCCCCTGTCCGCTCTCCTCTCTCTCCTCTCCACTCTCCCCTGTCCCCTGTCTCCTCTCCCCTCACACCGTGTCACAGTGCTTCAGAGAATCCCAGGGGGCGTGGTGTCCTGCCCTGCGTGTGCCATGGATGCCAGCAGTGGAAGGACTTCACAGCTGCCAGGCTGAGCTGCCCTGCATGATTCAAGGCAGCAGCATGGGGGGTGCGCAGTGGGTGTGATGCCAGCAGAGCGAGCAAATGAGGGGTGAGGCGTTGAGGTGGAAGTTAGGTGTTAAGGTCGGGGTGAGGCACAGGGGTGGGGATGATGTGCTTTTGGCACGTCTTTCAGGGTTTTTCCTTGGAGGAGGCTTGTATACCTCGTGCCCTGCCCTGCCATTCTCTGACTGCTTTGCCTGCCTATCTGCCTCCCATGCTTTACCTTCCTGGTTCTCGCTCCCTCCTCTCTCGCTGCTCTCCCTCGTAAGACCTCGTTCCGCCCGCTTGTCTCCGTCGCTTGCCTTCCTTCCCCTCCCCTCTTCGTTCCTTCTCTCTCTCCTTTCCCTCTCCATAGCTCTTCCGCTTTTCTGTGACCATTCCGATCCCTCGTGATCCTTCAGTTTTCACTCTTTTCTGTTCGCCTTTCTCCTTTCTCAGCGCGCCCACTCCCAGCACTTTATGTGCAAATTTACGCTTCATCCAGCCCTTTCTTCCCCTCGCCCCCTTTCTTTTCCCTTGCCCACTCTCCTTAACGCCACCCCCTCCCTCTCTCCGTTTCCTCTGCCTGCTCTCCTTCCCTTGCACCGTATGCCCATAACCCTACATGCCCACGTCCGTCCTTCCTTCCTTCACGGTTGGTATGCATGACTGCTTGTGAATGACCATTGCACTGTCAACGTTTGCATGCTTCCCCTTCATGTGTCATTATGATCAGCAATTGCCTTCACCTTTCCAAGCTGCCTAAACTTGAGATCTATCTGCTCATGTTCACCCTTTTTTTCCTCTCTGGAAATGCTCATTTCTCTACCTGCAATTTTCTCATTTTGCCTCTTCTTGTCCTTCATTTCATGTCTGCTGCCATATGCACTCGTTTGCTGCCATGTGCCCTCATGTTCTGCTCGTTTTCTACTAAGCGACAAATGCTCTGCATAGCACAGGAAGAATGCATCTCTTGGGTTGCAAGGAGTTAGTGAAGCTGTGTGGTCTGCCATCTCGAGAATGGTTGGAACACACGAGTTGAAGGAGGTGATGGAGATGCAAATCAGGGCGCTTGGCGTGCAGCTGGAAGAGACAAGGAGGGAGTTAGCAGCTTGTAAGGAATGGCAGATGCTTCAAGATCAGAAGTTTATCAGGCAGAATGAAGCCGACCGGAAGAAAGCATTGGAGGTGAGTGTGAGATGACACGTTTCACAGGGCATGCAATGCTTGGTATTCGTGTCTATGCAATCATCCTGGCATGTCATGTATTCCGCTCGCTCACTTGCCCATTCCCTCCAGGCAATCAAGGCAGCATCGCAAGAGACCCATCTGAACCTGAGTAATCTCAACGGCCTTTCAGATGCGGTACTCCGCCATGTGTCAAAGTTGACCCATCTGACAAGCATTGACATGTGCTCTAGCTCAGGCTTCAGTGCAGAGGGCATCAAGCATCTGTACAGGCTGCCACGGTTGGAGAAGTTAGAGCTCAGATGCACCGACGTTTCAGACGGTGCTCTAGAGGGAATAGGGTCCATGACCAGTCTCAAAATCCTCTATCTCGGGCTTACCAAGGTGACCGATGCTGGGGTTTCGCACTTGAGAGGTCTTTCCTCTCTTAGAGCACTGGGACTTGAGTGCAAGGGTGTGACAAACGCTGGCATGGTGCATGTGGGGAGGCTGACAGGGCTTGAGCAACTTCTGGTGCTGAAGACAGCAGTCACGCATGATGGGCTGAAGCAGTTGACTGCCCTTACCAAGCTGACAACTTTTTCCTGCCAGAGGGGGCTTGCGTTTTCTAAAAGGACGTGTGCAGGCGGATAGGCAGGTAGGATGGCAGGGATTGGGGGAAAGGGAGTCTAGACAGAGCCAAGGTTGAAGGGGATATGCAGACTTGGCTGACTACCGTTGGCGATACATGAGGCGAGGCGTGAAGGCCAGAAATTTCTAGGGTGCGGATGCTGCTGGGCATATGGAGGACTGCAATGTTGAACTTGCATTTTGCATTGCTCTGACAAGTAAAATTGCTGGACCTGTGAAGAGCCCAGGGAGGGATCAGAGGCATGAGGAAGCAGCATGATCAATGCATACCCTGTACTTGGCTTTATGTTCACACTAATCAACATCTCTTCATTCAGGATAATACAGGAGGATAGATATGCAATGATCGATCATAAACACCTTATACGCACGCATGATTGATCATGCTCGTCCAAAGATGGTTTCAGTATACCAATGCATATTGGTAGAACAGTCCATACAGGTACACGAGCGCAGTGGTTTGCAAGAGGGTATTCTGTTTTCTGAAGGTGAAGCAGAAAGGAGTGAGCTGCATCTACATGGGAAAGGGTTCTACTATTTAAGATGGATGGAAAAGGTGTGCTCAGTTACTACCTCACTGAAAAATATCCCATCATTGACTAACAACGTTTCAATCCTGAGTGTCAACTATCCCACTCCATCCAACCATACGGTTCCGCCCTCTCCACCAGCCTCACCTCCCTCCATGCCAGGCCATCATGGCGCAGCGAGTGCTAGAAGCAGCCGAGGGGAGAAAGACAGTCGGCAGAGGAAGAGATGGCGGGCTCAGGGGGTGAGAGCAGAGATTCTAAATTGTCGGTTGGTGCGCATGCGGCGCCTTTCTGCTGCTCCCTTCTCCATCCCCCTCATCTCTCCCTTGCCATGCCACGGCTGCTGCCATTACTGCTGCAGCAGTGCATGTGCAAAGTGCTCCTGTTCCCCAAACATCTCCCCCTTGCCCAAGTTACACCCCTCCGCCTCTCGCAATGATGCAGCAGCAGCAGGCTGGAGGGCTCGGGTGGGCAGATGGAATGCAGGAGCGGGGACCAGATGCTTGGGAGAGTGTGGGGGAGTGTGCACGCTCCCATGATACCATGATCCCATGATCCCATGATTCCATTCACCCATGCTCCGATGCTCCCAATCTCCTGCCATGCTCGCCAAGTCAGAGGGGGGATGATTGAGACCGGCACTAGTTCTACCGGAGCACAGGCCAGGCCTGCACGTGATGCGAACGGAAGCAGGCAAGGAATTCGCATATGTCAGGTGGGCAGGAAGGGGGTGGCAAAGGTAGACGAGGTGGCGGGGGGCAAGGGGGGGAAGGGGAAAAAGGGGGGAGGTTGGGGGGGAAACAAATGGGAGGAACGAGGCAGAGGGGTAAGAGGGTGCAATTGGGGACAATGCACCCCCTTAAACGAGCACCAGATGGTGGTGCCGACGAATAAGGTGCTGCTGCAATAGCTCTACTCTGCGTGCAGCTGGCATACCAGTTAGCTCCCAGCCACGACTGTTGGAGGAGTTCCAGCAGTAGCGGGTGAGGAGCGATGGAGGCGGGCTGGGAGCGAGGAGCGATGGTGCCAAGTGGACCTGCGGAAGAGTCTTTCAGCTCAGCTGCTCAACTGCCACTCGCACTGCTGCCCTGCTGCGGTCATTGCAGGGGGTGTGAATGTGGCAGCTGCTGCTGCAGCGGCATATAAGAAGGTCTCAGGTGAGGCAGGTGGTCGCAATAGGGGGACAGAATCGGGGGAAACAGCTGGGGGACAGAATCGGGGGAAACAGCTGGGGGACAGAATCGGGGGAAACAGCTGGGGGACAGAATCGGGGGAAACAGCTGGGGGACAGAATCGGGGGAAACAGCTGGGGGACAGAATCGGGGGAAACAGCTGGGGGACAGAATCGGGGGAAACAGCTGGGGGACAGAATCGGGGGAAACAGCTGCGCCCCTTGAGCAGGCCCGATCTGTACGCGGGAAGGCCTGGGTTCCTCTGTGTCAGGTCCGGCCTGGCGGGCCAGCGACAGAGCTGGGCGAGAGCATGGTGAGCAATGTTGCTAACTCTGTCACCTTGCTCACACACTCGCCCTGTGCTTCACACACTCGCCCTGTGCTTCACACACTCGCCCTGTGCTTCACACACTCACCCTGTGCTTCATACACTGGCCCTGTGCTTCATACACTCGCCCTGTGCTTCACACACTCGCCCTGTGCTTCACACACTCGCCCTGTGCTTCATACACTCGCCCTGTGCTTCACACACTCGCCCTGTGCTTCACACACTCGCCCTGTGCTTCATACACTCGCCCTGCGCTTCATACACTCGCCCTGCGCTTCACTCACTCGCCCTGTGCTTCACACACTCGCCCTGTGCTTCATACACTCGCCCTGTGCTTCATACACTCGCCCTGTGCTTCATACACTCGCCCTGCGCTTCACTCACTCGCCCTGTGCTTCACTCACTCGCCCTGTGCTTCAATCACTCGCCCTGTGCTTCACTCACTCGCCCTGTGCCTCGCTCACTCGCCCTGTGCCTCGCTCACTCGCCCTGTGCCTCGCTCACTCGCCCTGTGCCTCGCTCACTCGCCCTGTGCCTCGCTCACTCGCCCTGTGCCTCGCTCACTCGCCCTGTGCCTCGCTCACTCGCCCTGTGCCTCGCTCACTCGCCCTGTGCCTCGCTCACTCGCCCTGTGCCTCGCTCACTCGCCCTGTGCCTCGCTCACTCGCCCTGTGCCTCGCTCACTCGCCCTGTGCCTCGCTCACTCGCCCTGTGCCTCGCTCACTCGCCCTGTGCCTCGCTCACTCGCCCTGTGCCTCGCTCACTCGCCCTGTGCCTCGCTCACTCGCCCTGTGCCTCGCTCACTCGCCCTGTGCCTCGCTCACTCGCCCTGTGCCTCGCTCACTCGCCCTGTGCCTCGCTCACTCGCCCTGTGCCTCGCTCACTCGCCCTGTGCCTCGCTCACTCGCCCTGTGCCTCACTCACCTGTACGGTGCTCCACACTCTTGCACCAAGCTGCACTCACTCGCATGACAAACAACCATGTCGTGTGCGTTGCACGTGATGTTCTGAGCATGTGGTGCACACATCGCTCCCGCCTGCCACCTTTAGAACCTCCCCCCCCCTCCCCCTCCTCCACGCCTGCTGGCACGCGTGCAGCACGGCCATTGGGGGAAATCCAAGGCAGAGGGGGAGAGGTTTTGAGGCAAAGAGTGCTTCTATTTCCCTACGTCGCGTTTCAGGCCACCGTCAAATCACCCCAAACACGCAGCGGACTGCAGCGATGCAATCTAGTGGGGTGGCGGCGATGCAAGAGCGTGGCGGCGGGTGGATCTGGAAACAAAATGGAGGGAAGTGAATGATTTACGCTTGGAGCAATGCTTTAGTAGGCGGTTTGCGTTGGAAGGGGGCAAACTGTCACTCCGAGTACTACACCAGCCCCAATTTCGAGATGGTGAATGGCGACGTGACTTCGCGAAATGGCGGCGCGGCGAGATGGCGAAATGGGGCGCGATATGGCGAAACGGGCGTGAGACGGCGGAATTGGCGTGACATGTCGAAATGGCCGTGACAACTCGAAAATGGTGGCGTCACAAGGCGAACGGTGGCAATATGATGGCGATACATCAGCACACTCAGCCGGGCGACAGGAAAGCACTATACGGACCTTGGGAGGGGTCAATAGTCGCACTGCGGACTGCACGGAGAGCATAAGCGCGCCGAGCCTATAGCTCAAAGCACCAATCACGACGACTAAACCTGGTAAGACTGACAGAGAAGCATAAAATCTTAACCTTAGGCGCCTAAAAAATAGACCGACGAGCACAGCAGAGCAGACTTCTATAGCCCCGACCGTGAAAACCACGAGAGTAGGTGGACGGATTATATAGTTCGCTTTCCGTTTGAGCGCGGCTTGTCAAAGGCGAGTCGGAGCGAGGAGGGAGACTGCTGAGCCGGGTTGCTTAGCATTTGGTTATGTTTGCTGGAAGCAAACTATAGGGTTACCGAATTTGTTAATGTCGCTACGGCTTTGCGCGAAGCTCCGAAGAAAGTGCGAGGTTCCGAACGTCTGGCACGCCAGGCTCGGCTTGGAAATTTGTTGACATGTGGACGAGCCGACTGAGTGAAAGGCGGAAACTTCGGACATCTACGTCTGTGCGTTTGGAGCGAGGCGAAGGGTTACCGGATTCGCTTTGGCAAGTCCCGAACATGGCGGGGATCAGGTTCGGCCTCAGTTGACGACACCGAGGCTGACTCGTCTCGCGTCCGAACTTTTCGATTCCGCCTTTCCCCAAACCTCACCAACGGGAATTTCGCTTAGCAAACTTGTGCTCGTGTAAAAGGAGGCTCTTGAAGTACATCTCGTCATTTACAGCCTCCAACCCTAATTTTGAACCTCTTTTGCCTAGCCCACTTTCTTGAGTCCTTTCCCTCGAGCATGAAAAATCCATCGATGGCGCTCTCAAGTAGCTGTGCATGGAACCGTACCGGCTTTTCCGTCCGCACCGCATTGGTGGAATCATCGCCAGCATCTTCGTCGCCATCAATCCAATCTTCCATGTGCACTCGCTCTATCTAAAGCCATAAGTTCCATCACTAGCCCCTGCTATCCTTTAATAGCTACCCATAGACATTATTTTCAAGTAGCAGCTACAGCAATGACCCGTTCTCCTGCCCGCCAGCTGCTGCTAGGTTGCGGCATTTCAGACTCGAGTCCACCCGACACAGATCATCGCTCTCCCCGCACCGCGCACTCCCGCCTTGCTCGGCGCGCAGCTCCCGCCGCTGCTGCTGCGAATCCTGCTGCGCACTCTCGCCTCGCGCGCGACTGCGCGCAGCTACTGCTGTTGCTGCGGCTGGTGATGCTTGCGCGACGCCGTACAAGTGATGCAGCCTCCCTTCGGCGGTCCCTTTTGTCTGCTCAGGCAAATCGCGGCATCCATTCGTGGGATTTCGAAGATAGGATGGCGATTCGGCCGCATGCGCAGGCGGTGTGCACCGTCGGCGTGTTTCAGTCTTTTTCTCTGAGGCGTCGAAGATGCCGTGGACTCCGTGGGGAGGGTTGCAAGGACGGGTAAATGCTGATGCGGTAAGGTGCAGATTTCTGTGTTTCACTGGGTATTCCCTGCATGGCGTCGCCGCAGCCAGACGTTTGGCCTGGTGCTTAGATCAGAGCAATTTACCACTGACGTGACAGATATGGTTTACGGGACATTTCGTGATGCATAAAGCAAAAGGCGAAGGGATGATGGTGCGGGGAAGATCGGACAGAGACAGGAGTTACAGTTGTCGCATGCCACATGGCACAGCCTGTTGGCATCATTGTGCCATCCACGTGTTGCAGCAGTTACGGCCGCTTCTATTTGCTCCCTGCCGTCGGTCCGGATTTCCGCCGTCGCTTAGGGCGGTTCCACGAACCATCTCCAACAGTCCCAATTTAACCCTCCACCTTTTCTCTCCCATTCTGCGTCATCCCCCTTCCCCCACGTCACCTCTACCCTCCCCCTTTTTCCACCCATCTTGTCCTCAATCTCCGCTTCTCTTTCTTCACCGCCCCACAGGTCTAGATATTTGAGGTCGAAAGCACCCATGGGAAAGTACGATCCAGATCCTGAGCTTCGTTGGGGGCAGTTGACAAGCTGGAATTTGCCAAGGTTAGAATCGTGTAGTGGCTTGGTTGAAAGTCGGTGCGTGGTAGGGGAGATGCGTGTAGGAATCACTAGAGTCACTTGTGGGTGACGGTTGGAAGGGGGCGGTGGAATAGCTGTCTGTCGTTGAGGTGGGAGTTGCTGGCTGAGAGTCGGTGACGAGTTGGCGAGGAGTCGTTGCGAGTGCTGTGGGATGGCTGTGAGTGTCAGTGGAGGGAGCTGATGGGCAGGATAGGTGAGCTGAGAAGATAGTTGCAGCCAAAAGTGAAACTCATCCCCCCATCCCCCTTGCAATAGTCTCCTCTCCTTTTACATTTCTAATTGCTTCTTCCCAACCAGCTCCCAATCGCACCCTCACCCATCCCATCCATTCGGCTGCGCATTTGTGTATCCCACACTGCATCTTGATCCCCTGAATTCTGCCCTTTCTCACGTGCGCATTACAAACTAAGTCACTGCCCTTCCTCCCCTTTTCCCCTCCTCCCCGCATCCTTCTCATCAGAGCACTTCTCCCCTCCTTTCTCCGCATCCCTTTTTCTCCGTACCTGCTTCTCCTATAGGGACTTTCGGCCCACAGGTTCGCGCCCCTGCAGCACTGTCACTCGCATCCCTCTCATTAGCCACTGCCCCTTTTCGTTTTCTCACATCCCCTCCCTCCACCCTGCCCCTTTGCGAGTGTTTGTGCTGCAGGGAGCGTTCACGAGGGGGCGGGGAAGGGGGACTGCTGATGGGGCTGGCGGAGGCTATAGAGAATGCGTTTGGCGTTGAAGATGGCGCGGCGGGATATGGTTGACAAGCTGGATATCGCCAACAGGTCAGAGCGGTGAGGGGTGAGTATTCGTGTGAAATTTGGCCAAGGGGGCGGTGGGTGGGGGTTTGTGAAAGGAGTGGGGGGAGGGGATGAAGGAGTAGTTGCTGCTGGGGCGGGCGGGGAGGTCATAGGAGATGCGATGGGTGTTACGATGGGTGAAGGGAATTGCTGGTTTCAAGTCGGCCTCCACTCCCCCTTCTCCACCCTTTCTCCCTCCCGCCAGGTGTGAGAAGAGTCGGAGCAGGGCTGCTTATGGGTCAGTCGCAGGTCAGTAGCGGGTCGGTGATAGGTGAGCAGCAGGGTAGGTAAACGCATGGCTGAGCTCTGTGGGGCTGTGCTTTCCAAAGTGCCAACGAGGGTCGACAAAGTTGTCTTCTCCTCCTCACCTGCCCCTCAACCCTGCTGGCCGTTGATGCTTTTCTCCCTCCTCCTCTTCTGCTGCTCTTTCACCCCCTCTCCTGATTTCCCCTGCTTCCCTAATCACCCCAATCACCCATCAGGTGGGCATAGTGCCAAGCAAGAAACATCTATCTTCCTCCATCTCGGCCTCGCCCGTCTCACGGTCACCGGCCTCTCTGACTCTTCTCTCATGCTGCTCTCCAACCTCGCCTGCCTCGCCACCACTGTCACCCTCGTTGGTGCCAATCTTGACCTCTGTGGCATTGACGAGTTGCCCCACCACGCCCTCATCCTGGCTCTCAGTCTCGCGACCGTTGTGGGAGTTGGTGAAAGTGGAGAGGCCTGATCATTTCACTTTTCCCTTACCTATGCCTTGCTCTCCTTTCATGACCTCTCACCAGTCCTTCTCACTCCACTGCTTCTCACACCAATTCTTATCACACCTCTCTGCATTGACTTCACAAGGCATTGACTTTAGTGTGTTTACATAGCACTGACTTCGTATAGCATTGATGTTACATTACACTGACTTCACAGATTTCACGTAGCATCGACCCTTTAATAACATAAACTTTGCTCAGCGTTGGGTTTACATCGCACTGACTTCGCAAAGCATCGATAGCCTTGTCCAGCGATCCACACTCATATTACCGCCAATTCGTAACACCACCTGTCTGCCCACTTCCCAGTTGTCATCTCTCTCTTCAAGTGCCGTTGGAAATCATGGTCCATGAGCCATCAGCATTGGGCCATCAGCCATGCACCATCACCGATGCACCATCACCCATGCCCCATCACCCATGCGCCATCACCCATGCGCCATCACCCATGCGCCATCACCCATGCGCCATCAACCACGCGCCATCACCCATGCGCCATCACCCGTGTGCCATGCCATCACCCATGCGCCATCACCCGTGTGCCATCACCCATGCTCCATCACCCGTGCGCCATCACCCATGCGCCATCACCCATGCGCCATCACCCGTGTGCCATCACCCATGCTCCATCACCCGTGTGCCATCACCCATGCGCCATCACCCATGCGCCATCACCCATGCGCCATCACCCGTGTGCCATCACCCATGCGCCATCACCCGTGTGCCATCACCCATGCTCCATCGCCCGTGCGCCATCACCCATGCGCCATCACCCGTGCGCCATCACCCATGCGCCATCACCCGTGTGCCATCACCTATGCTCCATCACCCATGCGCCATCACTCATGCACCATCAACATGCGCCATCACCCATTCGCCATCTCCCATGCACCAGTTCGACTTGTCAGTCCAAACGACACTTCCTGTTTCCAGTGCGGATGACTGCAGCATTGGGCCATCAGCCATTGCTCTGTGGCTGCAGGTGCAAGGTGGCTGGCGTCTGGGAGAACTGGCCACTCTATTTCGCCTCCACTGCATCTTGCAGTGCTGCCACTACAGAGTGAAAATCAAAATCATCGTGCAAGACCTTGGATGACTTTCAGGCTCGTGCTGGAATGAAGGTTGGAAAGTCTGGCTCGAGCTCATACCGGTAATTCGACTGCTGCTGGCCTCATCTCATGTCTCATCCCATGGCCCATCTGACATGACAGGCTTATTATGGTAGTACGTCAAATAAATCGTGTATTGTTGAGGATACGACAAATGTTTTTTTTAATAATATGTGTAACTGAAATTCAAGTATTGGACCAACTTTTGAGCATGGTAATATTGTCTGTTTTCTTCATTCATTCATATGATATCAATTGGCTCAATGTATATCATAGGTGAGCTTATGTCTGTTATATCTGTACAGTTCTTGTTGCTAAGGGTTCCGCGAATCTCGCGGGTCTATTGATTTCCACAGGCAGTTTGGTCTTCCCGCCAAACCTGGCTTGCACAACAGAGTCAAACGGGTGAATTCTAGGTTGCGAGAAACCCAATAGTTGAGGTTCGGCGAGAAGTCTGGGACCAATCACGCTCGGCAAAACTCGTTCGGGTCCCGCCTGACCCGCTGCCTAGCGAAATGGTAGGCGAAACATCTGTGATCAGGCTTGGGACCTTGACGAGCCTTGATTGAGAGGTTCGGTCATACTACAAAGTGGTATGTTTCCGCGTGTCTCACTGGTTCGACTTTCGCTCTGGCAGCGATGTCATCGCCAGAAGTCGAGCCGCCCACCCTCCTCGCTCACTTCCCTTCCCCTCATCCATTTTCTGCTATCTTCTGGAGCTTGCCTGCCTGCAGTACAAGTCTAGCCATTTGATGCGACTTCTTTCTTCGTCTTTGCTCAGTGTGAACAACACGATTTCCTCCGGAAAAATCATCGACTCCCTTGTGGTGACCATCTCACCTAAGTATCAAATAGACTCTGAGAACCTTACAAGGTCACTCTTTGAAACAGTAGCTATCAATCGCTTACGTACACTCGCCATGGACATCTGGATGGCCAAGCCGTCGGCTTACACCGCATTCTCGTGCAACTCGTTGGCCAAATCGACCAGCGAAGGCCGATCCGAAGCGCCCGAACACGAGAGCAAGTTAGAAGGTAAGTGATCGAGCTTTTCATGACGAGAATTTTAGTCTCAATCGCTTTTTTAAACTCACGAGAATAACACGAGCCTTGGTCCTCGACCCCGCTATTCTGCCTCTCTCTTTCTCCCTCTTTCCAGGAAACCTCTCCGTCCTTCCAGATAGACGTGAGAGAGAGTTAGGTTAGCACGCGAGTGCCAACCGTTTCTCCTCCGCGTTCGTTCTGGCAGGTCTCGTCACGGCGTCGTGGTACGCGCCGTCCGAGGCGAATACCTCGTCTACGGGGCCCATGCCAGTCAACGTTGACCTCGTCGCCTCGTCGGACGCCTCGGATTCGTCCGTCGCTTCGACGTGTTCCGGATCTGGCGAATCTGCCGCAGCCATCGCGAAATCCTTGAAACCGGCGCCACCTGCAGTCCATGCGCCTCCCGCTCACCGCGCCGCTGTTCCACCCGTTGCTCCGCGCGCCTGCCGTCGGCCGCTCGTGCTGAGCGCATACGACGGTGTGCTGGACCCCGAGCTGTTCGAGAAAACCGGCGAGTTGGGGTGTGGCGGGTTTGGCACGGTGGTGGTGATGCGGCGAGTGGAGAACGGTGAGGTTGTGGCGGTGAAGCGCGTGGAGCGAAAGCAGCTGGTGGCGGTGTCAAACGAGGCAATGCTTTCGGCGTCGCTGAGCGAGTGCCCGAGCGTGCTGGGCGTGCGCGAGGTGCATCTGGGCGAGCAGCACGCGTACATGCTCTCCGATGTGTGCTCTGGCAGCGACCTCCGCGCCCTCATGCAGCGACGCAAGGCTGCTGCAAGCAACGGCGCGGGAGGCGCGGGGAGAGGCAAAGGGAAGCGGTGGTGGGGGAAGGCGGGCGGTGAGGGCGGGCGGGGAGGGGGAATGACGGAGGTGGAGGCGCTGGAGGTGGTGAAGCACGTGGGCGACGCCGTGGCGTTCTGCCACGAGCGAGGCGTCGTGCACTGCGACGTCAAGCCCGACAACATCCTCTTCTCCACTCCCACGCCCCTCTCCAAGCCCCTCTCCGCGCCAATGCCATTCTCCGCCGCCGCTGCTCCCGCTGCTCCTGCTGCACCTGCGCGCGCCTCTCCGGCTGCCCTCAGCCTGTCCGTGCCCGTCTCCTCAGCGCGCACCTCCGTCACAAAGAATACGGGGCCCCTCAAGGGCCCGAGGTGCAACCATGCCAGGCCATCCACCCAGGGGGCATCCCAAATGTATGCCCGATGTTTGCCAAACCATGGCCGCAACCGTATTCACCCATCTACAACAAACACGCACGTGCGAAAAACGAGCAGACGCATTTGCAGCACCACGCTCAAATGAGCTAAAAATACACCAGACCCCGCGGTGGGCTGACTCGGGACCGTGTATGCGACCAAAGGCAGAAATCATCAATCACTACACTCACTATATTTATGCTTCACCTTAGGAGATACAGAAATATATATAGAGACAGAAATACAGAAGTGGACAAGGCAACGACAGTCACGCCCAAGCAGCGGGCTCAGACAGCATAGTCAACAACCTCCATGGCCAGCTGTTGCAAAGGATTACAGCATCACAGAACAATACCGTCACGTGGCACGCACCCCCACAAAGACAGACCGCCCAAACATCAGATTCTTGGGCTTAGCTCGCCAGCAGCGCGCGGGCATCGCACACCACCTCAGTATGGCTCCAGGGTGCAAAAATAGGCCCACTTGTTCAGATACCAGAGGTCCCTCTCCCGGAAGGACGGGACGCAGTGAACGGCCCGCTTGATCCTGCGGATGGGGATGACAGCGAGGCCGTGGAAAAGAGAGCCGACCCCAAGCATCTGGCATCCCGTGCCAGCGTCCACACCCTCCTGGATCAGCCTCTGGAGGATGGCCACTTCGACCTTCGCGTGCCCCCCCGCATCCAGAGGCTCCTCTGCATCCAGGAGCATGAGCAGGCGGCCATAGCGTGTTTCGCCGCGCGGCGTCTCATACTCCACACACGAGAAGGCGGTGTGCCCGTGCAGGGACGCCGCTGCCCTTGCATAGTGGGGCCGGATGAGGCCAAAGTCGGTGGGCAAGGCGGGCAGAGCCACCGCCGTGTGGGCCTGCCGTGTGCATAACCACAAAAAACACAGTGAGACAACGGCCAGCGTTCATCATCTGGATGGTCGCTTGTTGCCAAGCATGTCGACACCTACAGTGAGCTGGGCCAGGGTCAGCATTCCCCCAACAAAACGGGGTTGAGAGGGCGAGAATGGAAGGGCCGCAATGTGCGTCCAGTGTGAAGGGTGTATGGTTTAGTGTGCAGTGGGTTGACTTGACGGCGCTCAAATAAGGTACAGCGGCCAGTAGCAACAGGCCTTGACCGGGGCGTTGTGGGATAAGTCATGCCAAGCAAGCTGGTTCAGCTACATGCATGTGTACCAGGGCTGTTATGTAAAGGAGTTGTGAGCTTACCCATGCCGGGAACGACCGCAGGCCGGCGTTGCGCATCACCGTGTCGTAGTACATGAGCAGGCCGCCCACAGCGCGGTCAATCTCCTCGAACACGGACGCCGCATCGGTCTCGCCCGTGGGACGGTCCGTGAGCGACTTCCGGGCCTGAGTGAGCTGCGGTGTGCCCGAAGCCACCGCCTGTGACAGCGTTCAAACAGAGGAGACTGTCAGTGCACGCGCGGCAACACCCCACCATCAGGTGCATCCAGCTACATCCTAGGTGTGTGGCCCTGGCAGACGGCCACTGACTGTGCGTAAATTCCACTACTTACCCGCACCAGCGCCGTCTGGTTGCGCCGCCGCCCAGGGAGGGCTGACGCAAGCTGCGCCAGAGCTGATGCGCGGACGTTGTGCGCCGCGATCGCCTGTGCAGGCTGGCGGTGGTTCGAGGCGCGGTAGGGGAGCTTGCACGTCCGGATATGGGCATTCTCGAAGACCGCGGCCGAATACTCCCACAGTAGGCCTCCGCGTCGTATCGCATCAGGAAAGTGCGTCATGAGGTGAACCTTGATAAGGTTCCACCCCGCGCCGCCGCGCGGAAAGGCGGACTCCACGCTCTGGATCATGCTGCAACACATGCAGCACAAGGCACGGTTAGGCAGCTCAAACATCTACACGAGACCCTTTCCCAGGCAGAACCGCAGTGATGGCGGACGTACCGCTTCGTAGCCGTCTCAAACTCCGCGAGGCTCTCGTCGGTGTGCGATGTCGCGCGCACGCACGACTCGTGCCACTGGAGCACCGCCACAAGTGTCAGCTGGTCCATGATATCCGCGTCTCCCTCCAGGACGAACGGCGCAATCTGCCCATCACACGGTCGTTAAGTCCATCTCCACATGCTGTGAAGCTATGCACGATCAAAGCGGCTTCAGCTCACCATCATGACTGCCGCATGCTCGGACGCCGTGAAGTTGGCTCCACTCGCCCAGTAGTGACCATTCCCCGGTACGCGAACCCCAGCGAGGCGGGCGTCTGGGTACAGAGTTGTCATGCGCCTGGGTTCACAGCAGCACCGCATAACAAACAGAATGCATGAGATATTATATGAAGAGACAGCCACGTACAAGACGGCCTCATAAGCCACTCAGGTGCAACTCACTTATCCTTGTGCAGTGCATCATGAAAACTGCCACGAAGCACGCCCCTGATGTATAGCCAAAACCCGATGTATATCGCATGCAGAATGTCGGGCATCTGCGAGAGATATGTGTTGCCCCAGAGGGTCCGGCTGAAGTTAAAGGTCCACAGGAAGCTCTGCGGGCAAGGGCAAACACATGCCTTGTTAGCATGACGCCGGCGATAAGCAGCAATACAATACCCTGCATTAAGCACAACGCATGCCAAAGACATGCGGTCTTACCGCCACGTTCAATGTCGAGAACAGCTTCGCCTGCTCTGGGTCGTCCAGCAGTGCCTCCTGCCCTTCCACGGTCCGATAGGGTGCAGCCTCACGGTCCATGTCGCGTAAGTCTTTGCGGTCGACAGCGCACAGGGAGCATGGCTTGGCGGAGCCCAGCTGCTGAGTGCATGAGACTTTGCAAGTCTCGGGATAGTCCGCGACGTAGGAGAAAAGCAGAGGCACAATGAAGCGCGACACCCCGGTGGGATCCGTAGCCGCCAGCCCCCTGCGACCGTGATAAACAGTGTGATTCACAGAGTGCGCTCGTTAGAAACACAACGCCCAACGACTCGGGCTCAGGGTTCTGTCACGTAACCAGGCTTTGACAGATGCGCGGACAACGGTAGTTTAGTGCGCGCGAAATCATAATGCGACCCGAGAAGTGTTTTTCTTACGTGTGGCTCGCGACGATCAAATCCGCGAGCACGATCTTCATTGCCGCCTGAAAGAGCTCCACCTTCATCGCCGGTGTCATGTTGCTCGGCGGAAATGGCAGGAGTGCGAGAAGGATCTTGCCGCAGTCAAGCCATCGGCGACGGAGCGGAATGTTGGCGATAGATATGTAGACCGCCCCCACCCGAACCCGCTCGTTTCCACTAACGACGGTCGCGTCGCTAGACAGGATGAGCGGCACAACGACCGCCCCTTCACCGAACATTTCCACGGCCGCCTTCTGCGCTTCTTGCCAGTACCTTGCCGACTGAGGCGTCGTGTAGACACGGCCCGCAGCAGAGTTTTCTTGGGTCGCGAACAGGACGAAGCCTTCAGCATTCTCGGGGTTGCCGAACATCTCCAGGACAGCCTGCCGCATAGCGCGTAAAGGCAAGGTCAGTTACCATATCAGAAAGCCCTCCGATGCACCCCGCATATGACACTGCTGTGCATACACCGACGGTTACATACCTCTTTGCCACTGGTATGAGTAACCTCGAACGGTGATGGCCAGCCAGGGATGGTGAATGACGTCGTCGCGTAGACCCGCCTGGACATCAGCAGAGTCATCCCGAACTGCACCACGGCGTGCAGCGTGTGCCAGTGGCGGATCAGGTCCAGATTGAGACGTTCGTCACGCAACAAGTTGAGGAGCCAGACCGTGCTTTCATTCGACAGACCGCGCCCGTTGTTGCACCCCGTAATGAAGCGGAAAACTTCAACCAGGGTGTCGAAGTTGGCGGGCCGCCTGGGTGGCCCTTCCGCCTCACCATCCAGTGCCTGCTGGGCTGTGCCTTCGTCCTCGGACTCGGACCCTTCGTCGCTGATTGTAAGTCCATCGTCGGCCGGCATGCTCTGGACAAATAATGACACATGGCGCAAATAAATCAGCGTCAGACACAACCAGCGGTCAAACCGCATACGAGTGCACGAGAAGGACTCTCACCTCCTCTATCTGCTCTGAGTTATCGCCGGCGGCATCCTCCACGCCGGCAGTGGTAGGTTCAGGGACTGCGTCGTCGTCGCTTTCAGAATCGCCATCGTCAGGGGAGTACGCCGGCGTCGACATTATGAAGTGCGTTCGACGGAGGCGACACTCATTGCTGCGACGCCAGTGTCCGAACAAGCCGCTCCGCGACGCATAGAGGCGCGGACACCACTCACATCCATACAGAACGGCCTGCGAGGACATGAGCGGAGGGTTGGATTAGGAGTTGGGACTTCAACATTGCCCACAGGCCAGGAGGCAAATAGCTTGAGTTGGGTTTAGAGCTGACCCGTTTTAGTAGCTGTGACCACGCTCTCAAACTAGCATCCATAAACAGATCCAACGTAGTCTGCCTGATTATTCGTTTCGTGCGAACATATCCGACCATTGGATACAGATATTGCTGATTCTGCGAAGCCTCCAGTAATGGTTGGGTACACATAGATAAAAACGGGGATTGGTCAAATTAGCAGAACCCACGATAGAGATCGGGGTCAGTGCAAGTCATTACACGTGTAGCATGTCAGACGTCTGATGACAGCTAGATGACGTGTCCAGGGGTTTGTGCGAGGCTGCGTGAGGTTTCGTCATGTAACGTCGTCTTTCGCTGCAACATTTTTCGCCAAATTCGGGATCTTGAGCGTTGCATCAAATTGTGGGATGAATCTCCGGTCTGACTGAAGTACTCCATGACTCGAACCGCACGAGCATATTTCTCCCGCAGTCATTGAGCTAGTTTAATGGAAAATACTACTCCGACGAGCCTGCTAACCCAGCCTGCAACATGGCGGTGCGCGCGTGATGACAGTGCGCGTGGCGAGCCATCACGCTATCCGGGGCCGGTGTGGCCTCGCAAGCGCGCCTGCAAAACCCGACCGCCATCGATCTCTGTCCTCGTTCGGGACTTTCCCGACGTAGCTTCTGTTCTCATGCAGGCCGAGTACAACAGGCTTATTGATGCCGGCGTGACCCCTACCCCTCGGCAACTCCAGAGCTCCGTGGAGCATCTGGTTCCGGATCGGCATGCCCGCGCAGAACGTCAGAGGGCAAGTGCAAGGCGTGCCCTGCTCGCGGCTCGGGGACTGTCGTCAGGCAACCAACTGTCCTTCCTAGACAACGCGTGCCTTCTTACAGTGTTGCGCGACCACCTCGACCCGAGCAACCTGCACCAGAATGCTGACGAATTCCGGGGCATCGTTGCGCTAGGACATCGCGCCATCAACTATCGCGCGTCGAGCCTCCTGGATTTGGTCTCAGAGCGCCCCCCCGTTCATGATTACCGCACGTTCCTCATGCATTTCGCATTGAGTGAGGGTTGGGTGGTAAGTGGCTTTATGTATCTGCGGCATATCAGTTCTGCATGTGCGTACAACACCGTTTCCTGACGCAAACGCCGGGGTGTTGTGCAGATCCAACACGGTAAATTCCAGTATTGGGGCGCGGAGGACGCCCGAGTCGTGTATAAACAGTTCAAGATACAACAGCCCAAACTCTTACCCTACAGGCAGTTTAAGCATGTGGGAGGCGCCGATGGGATGGGGGCCGGCATACTAGCGCACTCTCTGGGCATGCTAGCGTGGTGGGAAATCCCGCCACGAGATCGCCTTTTCTGGCACGCACATATGGGCAAACATATGTGTGTCTATCCTTGGGAGATACCCAAGGGTTTCCCAGAGCCGCCGCTTTACCGCCTGGTGTGTCAAGACTACGACCTTAACAGACCCGACGATGATCTGCCGGACTTTAGGCTGTGATATGTTTTATAAGCATATAAACAGGCATGGTGCATGTATGGTCAAACGTACCAAGTGTTATGTGACAGTGGAGGCACATCTTATCGGTTTGAGTACATACTTCCAACACACAATTTCACCGTCAGGCGTGCCATGTAACGCGCACACCGCCCTCTGGAAACCGCTTCCAACGGGCACGCTTGAAGGAGAGGCTCGCGGGATGGGCGCCAGCGCAAGAGTGTATAGGGATGTGCATTGGCTGGCGCCAATGACACTTGCGTCGTGCCATCTTGCCGGCACGCCTTTAAGCGTGCCCTCATTTGCTACTACGCCCCGCAATGTTCCTTCCCGCGCGGTAAGGCGAATCCACCCTGGATTAGGTTGATATGGGGGTACGTAATATCGCGATAAAAATCTGCACTGCTGGCTGGATTAAAAGCCAATCAACGTACAATACTCATCTGCTTCCGACGCAAGACATTATCCGTCTCGTGTGGGGCGAACGCGACACAGGTACACTCGCTTCCATCGCTGCATCGCGGCACGTGTGGTGCCCATTATTCTCCGTCTGCTGGACTGGGTGGGAAGAAGACCACGCCACGCAATGGGTTGCGCATAAGTGCGGCATTGCCAGGCGATCCTCAAACCATTCATCGCCTTTCTGAATGCTTCACCAGTGATGGAGCCTCCTAACTCTCCCTACTCCCAATGTCGTCGCTCCGGAAGAAGCAACGCCGGGGTGCATAACGGCCACGACGACATGGTTTTTTACGGACAGGGGTCTCAGTCCCCACGGCCCAGCAGTCGGAACGGGAGCAACGCACCGCATAGTGGCGGTATTTCCCAGGCCGGCCACGCGCAGTCGGACTCGGGGTATCTGCAGTGGGCGGATCGGGTGGGTGTTGAAAACTTGGAAGAAGACGACCCGGAGGACACATGGATGCCTGAAGAGGAGGAGGTGGACGAGGACGCTGAAGGTAAGTCACCCCCAACACACCTTGCGCGACATAAAAAGCATCAGTACAGCCCTTGTGATAATGTTTCCCGAAGTCTAACTCGATGTTAAGCTCCTATGTCCAGCCGCCCAGCGCACCCAGCGTTCACTCTCGGAGGTAGTGGCAGCGTCTACCCCCGCTACATCCGAGGAGCAACGTCCTGGAGCCCGCGGGGCGACGAATCCGTCCGCGTCTCGCCGTGGTCAAGTTTCTGTACGCAGCGCACCTGACGACCAGGTTGATGCCGCGATGGCTGCCCGCGTGGCGGAGCAAGAGCGCCGTATTGCGGAGCTGCACGAGACAATCCAGCGGCTTGAAGGAGCTCGCCGCGCCGTTGCTCGAAGCGCCGAGACACGCACCGTTCCTGTTCGCGCGCGGGACCGTGATGGTGCGTTGGAAACACCGGCTACGACTCGCCGACGCACCGTGACGGGAAGGGACGAAACCCGCACAGACACACACCGTGGCGAGCCGCTGGCGCCCATGGTGGAAGCAGCTCTGCACCGCGAGGTGCGCGTGGCGAACACAGGAGGCGTGGCTACCGCTGGGATGCAGAACTGGGCCGAACGTCTGCAGATAGCGCACAAGTTCCTTCCGGGCATGGACGACGGCTGGAAGGTAAGGATCAATGCTATGCGCGGTGCTGCCCTATGTTCTCGGGACATATGCCTCGTGCTAATGCGCGTTGGACCTTGCCCTTGTGTGTGCGCAGGTGGTGGTGGTTGACGCAATCAAGATTATGGTTTACGATACTGACGTGGGGGAGCTCAACTTCTGGGTCCCCATGGTGCTGGTGGAGAGGATTGTGGCGCGTGCACTTAACATCACTAAGGCGTCGCATCGAGCGCTCCTTCACATGGTGCTCCAGCATGATGACAAGCGGTCTGGCTGGATCACCCGCCAGATGCAGATATGGCGCAACACCACCTGGGAGCAAGGCCGGGCCTATACCTTTATATTGCACGGCCTTCCGTACAGGGCCGGCTCCAACCCGCGCGTCACGATTCCAGCGCGACCAAGTGTCCAGGAAGTGCCCCGCATCACCTGCAAGCAGTTCGACGAGAATCATCCTGCCGGTGAGTAGCGGGGGATTGAGTGGGCGTGGATCCCTAAATATGTTGCACGCCCGGTAATGTGCCATGTCTGTGCCTATGTGTTCCGCCATGGCATTTTCAGAGGCGGGGACATTCGAGCTGCGTCCGTGGCATCGCAACGCGGCGGGGGTGCCATTTGCGACCGAGAAATTCGAGCGCGGGCTATACGCGTCTTACCGTCGGCCGATCCCACCGCCCCTAGTGCTGCGCACCTACCTCGTGGCGTTCTGGCTTTTCGGGGTAAGGGCGTTTCCGGGCCGGACAAGTTTGCTCTGCAGGTGATATGGGTCAATACTGACAAGTGTGTGTTTTTGCTATTGCAGGTGGAAGTCCCGATCCTCAATGGTGGTCCACTAGTGACCAGCGCTCCCCAGAACGAAGAGGGAGTGCGCTGGTATCACGAGCGCGTCAAGCGATGGATGCGAAGCGCGATCCTGCGTCGCACAGCCGAGCACGGCCCCTTCTGGGATGCCGAAAAGCGGGGCTGGCGTTTTCGCCGCGACAGTGCGGTCGTCATCTCCGAGAATGGGATGGAGGATATGTCTCCTACCCTGCCTGCCACCCCTGCGACGGCAGTCCCTGCCGTGACGCCGCGCGCGCCAAATCCCTGAAATGCACTGTGCTCAGCCCAGCAGATCTTCTGACTGACTGGTTGTGACAGCTGTGCGCGACATGGGCAGGCATTGCCGGGCTCTGAGGTTCTCTTTTCGCTGCATGGGTGTAGATACTAGGTTTCTTTTATGCTTCTTGGTATGTGGGCTATATTAAATATGCTTGTGTGTACGTACTGTTTTGCTAAATAAAGGCGTGTTCTAAGCCATGGTTTGGGCTTGCAGATCAAACAAGTGCAACGTTTGGATGCCACCTTGGTGAGCCATTCCAAATAATAATAATAGACGTTGTATGCATTTAAAGTAACTGGATATCGTATACGTTGTGCACACCTTCGAGCCAATGTTACAGTGTTACTCGTGGGGCCACATGTTACAAGCATACATCCGTTAACGTCAGCTCGTTGCTGTCACTCTAGCTAGAGTGCCAAATTTCATACATGCCATATGTTTTTTTTTGTTGTGGAGGGGTGTATCTATGGGGCGGGACACTTTGTGAAGACGCCAGTGACGAGGACGGAACAATGCATTACCCCTCTTCGGACAGTACTTGTGCAGTCCTTCGTAACTGTTCCTGTACAAACCCTAGGCATTGCCACCCCTTTCCCGAGCAATGCTCATCATATTGCTAGTAGTTTGTTCCGCTGAAGTACCCGCACGAATGTCTAAACATTCTTGGTACATTGTTTTTGGGCCCAGTTCTTTGTGACGTCCCCCCGCCTGGCCGCGGGGGCAGTGCGGCTGGCGGACTTTGGGGTGGCGCAGGTGGTGGCGGAGGGGCAGCGCGGGTGCAGCACTCCCGCAGGCACGCCCGGGTACATGGCGCCTGAGGTCGAGGCCCTCTGCCGCCCTCGCTGCCCGCCCGCCCCGGGCGCCGCCAAGCACGCTAGAACAGCAGCTGGGAGAGCAGATGTACGGCGCGCAAAGGCAGCGGGATATGGGTGCGCAGCTGACGTGTGGTCGCTGGGGGTGACGCTGTACGAGATGATCGCGGGCGAGCGGCCTTTCTCAGGGGAGGCGCCTCAGCAGGGCGAGTGGCGGGCGTGTGTGGAGGGGGCAGCGTGGGAGGGCGTGTCGGAGGAGTGCCGTGCGCTGGTGAGCGGCATGCTGAGAGTGCGCGTGGAGGAGAGGCTCACCATGGCGCACGTGTGCCACCACCCCGCCATGATCCGCGCCTTCGGGGGCAGCGGAGGGAGCAGCGCGGGGAAGAGTAGGAGCGGAAGGTGGTGGTGAGCGTGATGGCTGGATCGAGGACGGGGAGGCGAGGGGTGTTGTAGAGGAGATGGGGCAGCAGCAGGGGGAAATGCAGCTGGCGTGGTGTGGCGGTGGGAGGAGGCAAGGGAGAGTGGGATGAGATGGAGGAGCACCACTTTTTGCACCCTGCCTGTCAGGGTGTTTGGGATGCCAGGTGGAATAGGTGGATGGAAGAGAATGTGTGCAAGGCGCCTTGCTGCTTCGCTTCTTCTTCGCTCATGGTATCTTCAAGGACTGAGGCAGGCGTGTGGCTGGAATTATTGCTTGCATAGCATAGGTTAGATGGCCCTAGATTATACGGTAGGCACAGGTAGCTTTGATAAATTTCTTTGTGAAATGTAAAATTCTGAAATTAATGCAGTGTTTCGTTCTAAAGGCATTATCGCCTTCATTTGGGGCCTCACAACCCCACCATGCTCACCACAACGTGCTGATTGATTCATTATAACATTCAATCGATATCAGAATGTCAACAAAATCCAATCGCACGCGACTGCAACTTATTGTGTCTCTTTCAGCTCAAGATGATATTGCTGGCAGTGAGTGAAGGGCAGGTATGAGTGATGGGCAGGCATGAGTGAAGGGCAGACATGAGTGAAGGGCAGGCATGAGTGAAGGCAGGCATTCCTCGTCAATGCTCCCTCACATCCTCATGAACGCCACCCCCAGCAGAACGGCTGATGTGCTGCGTGGAGGAGGAGGGGAAGGGAAGGGGAGGAGAGGGAGAAAAAAGGGAGGGAAAGGGGAGGGTATGGGGAGGTAAAGGGGCGGGAAGGAATGGGGAGGGAATGGGGAGGGTATGGGGAGGGAAAGGAGCGGGAAATGAGAGCGAAGGGAAGTGTTGTTGCCCTTGTTGTGTGGAGTGTGGATGAAAGGAAAGTACCTCCCATGATCCCATCTCACTGAACCATGCACTGGTGTCATGTGCTCATAAACGTCATGCACACACCATGTAAACGCCACGCACACCATCACCCATACCATGAACACACCATGCACACCATGCATGTGCACACATAGCATATCACCCACCCACCCACCCATCCACCCCGCTCACTCACCCTCATGGAGTGCGGAACTTGTGCCTCAAATTCCTCGACAATATGCCCGTTGTGGCACCGGCTGTCGCTTCTGCTCTGCTGCCTCAGCTGCTCTGGCAGATTGTGCCACGTGACGTGCCCTCGAACTCGCTGTCAGCACCAACCGATGGGCAGGAGTTGCTGAATGAATGGGGAGGGAGAGGGTTGGAAGAAAGGACGCAAGGGGCAGGGGAAGGGGCACAAAATAACGGCACCAAGGGGCGCAGGCATGAGCACACAAACAAACTGGCCGCACTGAGGTGCGTTAGATGAGTGTCAGAGAGAGACAGACGGGGAGGAAGGATGGGCGGGACGGGAGGGTGGCAAAGGGATGAGGTACGACAGCAAGGACAGCGATGGAGGCACGCATGGGGCCACAAACAGCTGTCAGCTCCAACTCACATGGGCGATCAATGAGAGTGGAAAACATAGATGAAGGATGTGAGGGAGGAGGGTGGAGGGGAATCGAAAACAATGGAACACAGCAATAGCATACTGCTTCTCTATAGCTATATATACTCACGCAGTGAACAACCACAGTGCCTAACTGATACCAGCAGTGTATCTGTAGAGGCAAAGGTGGGAAAAAAGGCTCCCGAGGGCAACAGCGCATGCACCCCATACATGCACGTGTAGCACTCCCCTCCCCGTCTCACCCCATGTATGTAAGTCCAAGTTACAACCACCTCGCCTCTCTCCGTCATCCATTTCTCCCTGAACCTCTTCCCATTCGAAACTTGGGGGAGAGCGCAGATGAGACAGACCTGAGAGCCATGGCATGCTGGAGGGCCGCCAACGCGGAAATTGGGGGGTTGTCGGAGGAGCAGGAGCAGGCGGGCTGCAGTGCAGGAGGTGAGGAAAGGGGGTCTGGGAGGCGTGGGTTGAGGGGTAGATGGGAGGAAAAGGAGGGGGTGAGGGGGGAGGAAGGGGGATGGGGGTTGGGGGGATACGGGGATCAGAAAATACAGTCGAATACGTCATGTGAGCCTAGAGAAAGCAGAGCTATAGAAAACACTGAACAACAGATAAACATATAGCACAATGGAAAAATATGAAGTACATTCAATCCAATATAGCTGACCAACAAACATGCAGAAGCAGGGGACGAAGAATATCAGCAGCAGAGGAAGACAGACGTGTATAGAGTGCAAAAGGGGCAACGAAAGTAGGGAGGGATGGGCAGTCAAATCGAACAACAGTGCATAGGCAGCAGACGAACAAAGAAAAGCCTAATGAGTAAAGCATGGTCATACAATGAATAGAGGTGATAGTCAACCTGTATGTTTAGGGGACCAGGTGCAAGGTGCATGAGTAAAGCAATACGCCCAAATTGGGTGGCGGAAAGCAGGGGTAGAAAGGGAAGTGGAGTGGAAGAGGAACAAATCACGAGCGAGTTTGCAGTGAAGAGGAAGCGGATGACGAGAGCAGCAGCAGTGACAAGGTGAAGAGGCAACCAGTAGGAGTGGTCGGGTGGGGTGAGGCAGAGGAGACTAGAGAGAGGATGGTGAGGGGGAGCGATCATGAAAGTGGACAAAGGCAAGAGTTGGCAGACAAGGGCAATGGAAGGGGAAAGAGGGAATCGTGTTGTGATGTCATTTACAGTTCAGACACGCGTGATACAGCAGCACTTACACATGCAAACGAGGCTAGGATTCACGTGGGCGTTTCCTGGGGCCCTCAAACTCCTTGACCCAAGAACTCCAGCTGTTAGGGTACTGCTGTTGCCCCCACGCCTCGTCCTCCAGACCAGCCCGCGCAAGCTCGAGCGCCACAATCGCCTTCTCGCACGCCGGTTTGCTCATCCTGAGATCCGCAAACGTCTCTGGGCAGACCTTGGCACTCCTGACCACCAGCCCGTCACGAAGTGACGTGAATCCAATGCGCGCCCCAATTTCGTCCAAAATCCTTATCACATGCTCAAACCCGTCGTGTTGCGCTGCTGCGTACTCGGAAACGGCAGCCATCAACCTCTTTTGCCGCGTCAGCGCTGAATCCTCTGCTTTCACAAGGGCGTATTTCTTGGTGAACCCCCCCGCAGCCATCTCGTCCCGCAGTGTCAGTCCTGCGTCCCCGAAAGGCGAGTTCCATATTCTCCATGCGTCGTGGACAGTGGATGCCTTGATCCAAGGGCGAAACATTTGTTTCTTAAAAGCCTTATCCTCCTCGCTGAGTGGGGCCGGGGAGTTGGTTGTGTCAACATTCTCTGGGGGAGAGGCATCAGCCGTAACAGCCCTTCTCTTTCGCGCCTTCCCACACAGCCCTCTCAAGTCTGATTCTCTTCTTCTCTCAACCATATCCCATTTCTCTGCCATATCGCCCTTGTGTTCAGCCAACTCTCCCTTCACCGCAGTAACCTCCCCCTTCACACCAGACAGCTCTGCCTTCACCTCAATTAGCTCTCCCTTCACTGCTGCCAACTCTCTCCCCCTTTTCTCCACCACGGCAGCAGTCGCTGCACTCCTCTCTCCCACGGCACCTAGTGCACGCCTCAACGCATTCACCTCATTCTCCGCAGCAAGGCTCCCCCTTTCCAGCATCAGCACTCGCTCTTTCTGTCGAGTCAACTCCTCCCTAACTGCCACCAGCTCCCCTCTCAATGATGCCAGCACATCCTTCGCTGCTGCCAGCTCCCCTCTCACCAAACCGAACAGCCCCTTCATCCCTTCAGCTACTGCATTCGCCTCCCTCTCTAAAGCCATCACTGCCGCCACTTGAGTTCAGCCGCTCACTCCTTACTGCGGGACGCCCAAAGCGGATGGAAGTGCAACATATCCAAGGTGAACGCATGGAGGCAAACAAGTACGAAAAAATGAATATAAAAAAAGCCAGTGCTAGTGCCATCCAATTTAAGAAGACAGGAGCCAATGGTGGGTACATGATCGCATGTTTTTCACTCCATGTGGTCAGGGCTGAGGCCAGCCCGATCAATGGTCTGATGCTATAAGAGAATTGCCTGTCGAGTAAACAAACACTCGCCTGCTCGGCGGAGAAGGCGAGGAAAACCACAGTTGCGAGTTAACTTTACTCGCAATTTCTCCTCTGTGTGACTTGCCACAAGAGGTAGATTTGGAAATATATCGCTCGGTTACTCGGGATGGTATTCATGTGGGGCAGGGTGTTTTTGGAGTTTCTGGGTGGAATTGAGACGGGGGGCATGTCTGATTATTGGGTAGTGCAGGGTGGGTTTATGCACGGGCATTGACTTGAGGGCGAGGGGCATGTTGCTTGCCTCGTCCTAAACAAAAGCACTGGCTGTACAAGGTGAGGAGTAACGAGGCGGCAGAGAGGGAGGAGTAGTCAGTGTGAACATTACTCACCACACCTCGTAGTCGAACAAATTTACTCGCCTCGCCCGCTGCCCAATCAAGCAATGGAACCAGAAAACTGAGGTTCCAGCTTTACGAAAGGAAGAGCTTGGTTAAGGGAAGGCAATATAGCACAGCTCTAGTGAAAGAAACGGTCCGGGTAATGGTCGTGAAGTATGACGTGGATACAAGGGCAGGGCCTCAAACGCGGACAGTGAAAATACAGGGATGTGCGATGGTCAGACTTGCCGCAATGCGAGGTCACACACTCAACGTTTTATTGGCAATGCGTTACTGATTGGATACCCGATTAGCGTCAAATTGTCCGAATAAATGCACAGGGGCGTGGCGCCTTATGAATGACTAAACAAATGTGTACTTTCAGCTTTTTCTTTCAGCGAGCTAAGCTCTAGAGACGTGGAATGGGGCCGGTGGGGAGGCACATACGAGGAAGGGAGCATTACATGACTACGATTGATGTAGATGCTGGTGCGCATGCCGAAATAAATGCTATGACGGGACCACCCTTACCTCTGGTATTAGGGTTTCGAAGATTGAAATGTCTTGCTGAGAGACTAGCGCAGACACTTGGCTCAGAGCTCCGCAAGAGGCGCCGGACACGCGAAACGGTCTGAAATTCGAAGCTGTGTATTTCACTCGAGACAATGCGATGGCTTTGAAAATATATAGAAGCGATAGCGAGCGGTAAGGCGACAAAATAAGATACCACGAAGAGGGAAAAGCGGAATCCTATCCCGATGACTGATACTAACTGCCACGCGGATTATCTGCGCTAGTGATAAGTAGTAACGCCAAGCGACTCGTAGATTCTACTGCGAAAACTAGGATGGTGGGACGAGCTTGTGAGCATCACCATGTGTGTGTGTGTGCCCAGCATTGCAAGAGCAGCACTAGAGTATTTTCTAAGGCAGCGTTCGGCTTGCACGGTTTTCCTTGATGCTAAATACCAGCACCACCTCATTCAATAACGAGAGTGCACTAAATTGCGAAATCTTTTCTAGAGGGGTAACTAATGCCTCGCAAATGTCGATACGGTGAACGATAGATTGAAGCTTCTGGAATGCGAACGTTGTTCAGATTGTGTAACAGGTAACTCACGAACCTGACATTGGTTGAATTGAACCTGCTGCCTCAACCGTACGCTGATCAAGGCCTGATGTCCTAGTATGTTTAGCGAGAACTAGTGTGCGATTAGTCGTGACGCTTAGTAGGCGTACATTGCAAGAGCAATCTCCAATCGCAAGAGGTGGTGACTCGAATCGCCTATACGAAACCAGTACGAACGGCGGCGCCGTTCCCTCGTGTCGCTCATACTGTCATCCGCGCATCGTGTGCTCTCGTAACTGTTCTGACCCCGCTCATCCGCCTCATTCCCTCTCGACACAATCAAAATCGTTGAAATCTCGCCTTCACACAGCGCGCTCTGCAGATTGACTTACCCACACCGTTGCGATTCACATCGAAAGGCGCGGAAACGCAACAATTTAGGAAACCCTAAATAGAGGTAAGCTTCCCTACGTTTTCCCGGCAGTCCCTCCGCATTGCAAGCCTGAGGCTCGCAGCCTAAGAATCGTGTTGCTCGTAGTTCCGTCAGAGCAAGCCGATGTGCAAATTTAGGTTACATACCGAGTCCCTTGCAAAATTCGCACACCGCCAAGAAACTAGCAGAGTCCCTTTGACGCATTATGCTTGCCCTTGTTAGCATTGCCTCGGCCTCTTTCCATGCTTTCCCTCGCCATCGTTCATGAGGTCACTCTGTCACCCTCCCGGGGTCTGACCAACCTAGCCCGTGGCCCACCTCAGCTTGTGACCAACCTAGGCTGTGAGTGACCCACCCTGTGACCAACCTAGGCTGTGAGTGACCCACCCTGTGACCAACCTAGGCTGTGAGTGACCCACCCTGTGACCAACCTAGGCTGTGAGTGACCCACCCTGTGACCAACCTAGGCTGTGAGTGACCCACCCTGTGACCAACCTAGGCTGTGAGTGACCCACCCTGTGACCAACCTAGGCTGTGAGTGACCCACCCTGTGACCAACCTAGGCTGTGAGTGACCCACCCTGTGACCAACCTAGGCTGTGAGTGACCCACCCTGTGACCAACCTAGGCTGTGAGTGACCCACCCTGTGACCAACCTAGGCTGTGAGTGACCCACCCTGTGACCAACATAGGCTGTGAGTGACTCACCCTGTGACCATCCTAGGCTGTGAGTGACCCACCCTGTGACCAACCTAGGCTGGGAGTGACCCACCCTGTGACTAACCTAGGCTGTGAGTGACCCACCCTGTGACCAACCTAGGCTGTGAGTGACCCACCCTGTGACCAACCTAGGCTGTGAGTGACCCACCCTGTGACCAACCTAGGCTGTGAGTGACCCACCCTGTGACCAACCTAGGCTGTGAGTGACCCACCCTGTGACCAACCTAGGCTGTGAGTGACCCACCCTGTGACCAACCTAGGCTGTGAGTGACCCACCCTGTGACCAACTTAGGCTGTGAGTGACCCACCCTGTGACCAACCTAGGCTGTGAGTGACCCACCCTGTGACCAACCTAGGCTGTGAGTGACCCACCCTGTGACCAACCTAGGCTGTGAGTGACCCACCCTGTGACCAACCTAGGCTGTGAGTGACCCACCCTGTGACCAACCTAGGCTGTGAGTGACCCACCCTGTGACCAACCTAGGCTGTGAGTGACCCACCCTGTGACCAACCTAGGCTGTGAGTGACCCACCCTGTGACCAACCTAGGCTGTGAGTGACCCACCCTGTGACCAACTTAGGCTGTGAGTGACCCACCCTGTGACCAACCTAGGCTGTGAGTGACCCACCCTGTGACCAACCTAGGCTGTGAGTGACCCACCCTGTGACCAACCTAGGCTGTGAGTGACCCACCCAGTGACCAACCTAGGCTGTGAGTGACCCACCCTGTGACCAACCTAGGCTGTGAGTGACCCACCCTGTGACCAACCTAGGCTGTGAGTGACCCACCCTGTGACCAACCTAGGCTGTGAGTGACCCACCCTATGACCAACCTAGGCTGTGAGCGATCCACCCTGTGACCAACCTAGGCTGTGAGTGACCCACCCTGTGACCAACCTAGGCTGTGAGTGACCCACCCTGTGACCAACCTAGGCTGTGAGTGACCCACCATGTGACCAATCTAGGCTATGACTGACCCACCCTGTGACCAACCTAGGCTGTGAGTGACCCACCCTGTGACCAACCTAGGCTGTGAGTGACCCACCCTGTGACCAACCTAGGCTGTGAGTGACCCACCCTGTGACCAATCTAGGCTATGACTGACCCACCCTGTGACCAAGCTAGGCTGTGAGTGACCCACCTTGTGACCAATCTAGGCTATGACTGACCCACCTTTGACCAAGCTAGGCTGTGAGTTATCTAGCCAGACATGTACACAGGGCGAGTCGGCTCGACTCGACCTCGGGTTGACTCACGCTCAGACCAAAATGAGTCAATCAACCTCGACCCGATTCGAGTCCAATTTCGACCCTACCGAAGTTGGCTTTTTGGGCCGAGTCAACTCGCAAGTCAAAGTTGACTCGACCTGGAAATGCGTTCCAGTCACATTAGAGGAGCGTATTTGCTTGTGGTTTAGATGGTAGAGGAAAAAACGCTCCTTTGTCACGAAGTTTTACAAGGGAACGGATCGCTTGTTGTGTTGGTGCCAAGGTAGTAGCATCAAGCCAAAGCTTATCGCTGGTGATAATGTAAAACAAACTAAAGCTGTTTTCTAAGCTCTAAGGCAACGATCTAAAGCCGACTGCTATGTTTTACGGTAGAACAGATTGCTTGGTAGCACGCACGGAGTTGAATAAGTAACAACCTAAAGCCTGTGAGTGCCTTAGCCTGTGAAAATCTTAGCCTATGAGTATCTTAGCTTGTGGTAATACTAGCCTGTCTGATCTATGTTGTGCCTGACCTACATACATTGTGAGTGACCAATCCCCTGTTTGACCTAGGTTCCAATTGACGTAGCCGGTGGCTGACCCAGGTGTTGTTGTTCTCCACTGACCTATTCAGTAAGTGACCTAGTCTGTGGCCTATGCAGCCTGTGTCACTGTGACCAACCAATCTAGCCTCTGGCTAACATAGGTTCATCTATCTTGTGTGGGACCTTGCCTCCAAGTGACCCAGAGTGTTGACCTATAATTGACTTAGCCTTTGACTGACATAGCCCCCAACTAACCTACCTTGTGACGGATCTATTCTGTTAGTGAGAATTCAATTTAAAAAAATGCTTGGTATCGATAATAAATGAAATATCGAGGGATTTAGAATGTGTTTGCATCTGGAATGATAGTTCGTTACGCCATGAAGACGAGTATCTGCATTATTTGGCTGGAATATTGCTAGGCTAGGTGCGTGGAATAGGTGAATGCGGTATGGTGGGAATGTCAAGCTACTATGGTAACACTATCCTGTGGTTAGCCTCTTCTGTGATAATCGTACCTTATCGGTAACTTCTTCTGTGGGATGCATAACCAGAGAGTGTCTCATTTTTCCTCTTGCCTTTCAACATCCCTCCCTCCAATTGCCTCTGCTTCTACCGGCCTCTCTTCGCTCCACGTTCACTTTTCAGAGGGAAGCTTCTTCTCGCTGAACCCAAGCACTGGTGGAAACAACCTGAACGCTGCTTGGGAGTGGATAGGACAATGGCGGTAGAAAGGGAGGAGAATGATCTCAGCGAGGCAGTTAGAGGGCTGTTTGCGACAATGAGAGGGGAACTGGCAGCGGTGAAGGAGGAGTTGGCAGCTGTGAAAGGGGAGGTGGCAGCTGCAGTGGCGGATAAGGCGGCGTGGCAAAGGGAACGAGTATTGATGTTGGAGAGGAGGTGGGTTGTGGGGAGCGAGGTAATGGGAACGAGGTAATGAGTTGGAGCACGCACCGTACACCAACAACTATGCAGCCCATCTTTAAATGCCACCGGTCTTATTGCGTTCGCTTGAACCTCTTGCCAATATTCTTGCTCGCGATCCATGCACTTAGTGCGGGATTGCCTTTATTTTTTCGCTTCTGCCGATTGTTCCCCCTAACCTTGCTGCTGTTTGCCCCCCCCACCCCACCACCCTGCTGCCTTACAATCGGACTACCAGCCCGGTTTTTCATGTGATTATTCTTGCTAGTATCATCTTTACCCATCTGCCACCCATGCCTATGTTCTCCATCTCTCTTCTTCTGTGCATTCAGTTCTAAACCTGTCTTTCTTTCCTGCCCCTACTCCTTTTCCCCCTCCTGCTGCCCCTGTCCCTCCCCTCCTCCTGTTGTACCTCACTGAAAATCACCCTTTCTGCTCTAATCTCACTCACCCCCCATCATTGCCCCCTCTCCACTTCCCTTTCCCTCTCTTGCCCTCCGCTCCCCCACGTGCCCTGCTACACCTCACTACTACTGTGCAGACACGCACCTAGCATTGGGCTCGGCCCATCAGCCATGGTTCTGGTTTTCTGCGCAGCCATTGCAGTCATCGCAGCCATCAGCATCACGCCACTTTACAGGACTGCTTGTTGTCGTGCCACAATGGCAGAGGATGTGAGTGACACCACCATCACATGCTGACCTTCCAGGCCCACTCCACATCAGACATTGCAGCGCTTGCCACATCGTGGATTACCCTGAATCTCATCCTCATCTCTCCCCCACTCCCATTCACCACTCACCCTGGCTTCCCTTCACCCTCCTCACCATGCTGCAGCCATGTGGACTCGTCTCTCTGTTGCACATACCCATGTGAGCATGCCGCACCTCACCATCGTTCACTCTTGTATTCACATATATCAACTTCACGCATATCAATTTCCCCTCGCTTCAAACTATCATGCTGTATAGGTGTTGTTTCAATTTCACCTTTTTGACTTGATGATTGCATGCATGCCTATATGTCCTCCTCTTCCTTTGCATGGTCATCGGAGACAGTTGCCTTTTAGTGCCTGTCCATGCTTACTAGATTTTACTTGCCTCCGTTGTTGCATCGTTCTCGTTGGGTATGTCTGCCTTCACACCCTCTTGTTTATCTTTAATCAGCATCTCCCATCCTACCTAAAGCTGGCACTCTGTGATTTTCCACATGTTCTTTTTTGCTTAAATCCCTCGTTATCCTAATGCTCTAAACACATTCTTCGAGACCTCCTATCCTCTCATTCCAAGGCTGCTGCCCCATATCTTCTGCTTCCATGTGTAGCAAGCATGTCTGTTCCCAGATGGAGATAGTGGGTACGGCTGTTGGGAATGTCATGGCAAGTATGGCCGGAACGCTCGAATTAAAGAAGATGGATTTGAGGATGGGTGTGTTCAGTGTGCAGCTCAAAGAGACACAAAGGGAGTTAAAAGGGCAGGTGGAGCAAAGAATAAGGGAACTGGCAGCAATGAAGGGGGAGTTAAAGGAGGCTGAGAGGAGACGAGTGGCGGAGATGAGGGAGCTCAAAGAACACCAGGATGCTGTGATGCAGTTGAGGGTTGAGGAGGGAATCAGGCAGAGTGAAGGCGATCAGAGGACTGCATGGGAGGTAAGCACAGAGTCGACTACTCATTGTTTCGCGGGACATGCATTATCTGCTTATACTTTCTTGTCCATCCCTATTCATTCCCTCCAGAACATCAGAACTTCATCACAAAAGACCAGTCTGGTGCTGTCCTTTCTGAAAGACATCTCAGACGCCATGCTCGGCCATGTGTCAACAATGACGCACCTGAATAGCATCAATCTTTTCTTCAGCTCAGGCTTCAGTGCAGAGGGCATCAAGCACCTGTACAGGCTGCCAAAGCTGAAGACGTTAGACCTCAGAGGCACTGGCGTCTCTGACAGTGCGTTGGAAGGGGTTGGGTCCATGGCCAGCCTAGAACACCTCTATCTCCATGGGACCAAGGTGACCGATGCTGGTCTGCCACACTTGACAGCTCTCTCGTCTCTCCAAGTTCTTTGGCTTTTTGGATGCAAGGGTGTGACAAATGCTGGCATGGTGCATGTGGGGAGGCTGACAGGGCTTCAAGAACTCTGGCTGAGCGGGACAGACGTTACAGATGCTGGTCTGCCACAATTGACAGGTCTCTTCTCTCTCAAAGAGCTGAGCCTTACTGGATGCAAGGGTGTGACAAATTCTGGCATGGTGCATGTGGGAAGGCTGACAGGGCTTCAGAAACTTCAGATGGATGAGACCAAAGTCACAGATGGGGGATTGACACACTTGACATGTCTTCTCTCTCTTCAAATGTTGGCCCTTTCCAACTGCAAGGGTGTGACGAATGCTGGCATGGTGCATGTGGGGAGGCTGACAGGGCTTGAGAAACTTCTGCTGGGTCGAACGGCAGTCACAGATGAGGGTCTGCTGCACTTGACAGGGCTTTCCTCTCTTAAAGTGCTAGAGCTTTCTGGATGCCTGGGCATGACAAATGCTGGCATGGTGCATGTAGCGAGGCTGACGGGGCTTGAAAGACTTAGGTTGGATGAAACAGCAGTCACGGATGATGGGCTGCAGCAGCTGACTGGCCTGACCAAGCTGACAATTCTCTGGCTGCCAAAGGGGGATATAGTTTTCAACGAGGATGTGCACAAGCGGATAGGCAGGTAGGGTGGGAGGGAGTGTTGGAGGGTGTTGGCATTGCCCACCCATAAGGGACTACTGGTAGGGTAGGGTGTGGGGTGGAGGCAAGGGATGTACGTTGGTACGCGACCTAGCATGTGCCTTGCTGTGGCACCGTAATTCTTTAACATCTTTTAGGGCCCCGCAGGCTGCTTGCCTGGCAATGGGTGTAAGCTCCAAATGCAAGACCTACCGTACAATGAATTCCACTTTCTACCGTCATCGCTCGGATAGAAGACATATATGTCTTATCTTATACATTAGAAAAAAAGCTTGCTGTGTCTTGTAATTGGGACGGTTTAGGGTGTCTTATAGTTCTTATAGATGGACAAAAAACCGTTTCGAAGATACCCCCTCGTCATAAGATTGCCCCTAACCCCTATACTGGCTCAACTCGTACACACCGACAGTTGTCTTATAATCAGGAACACCCATCTATAAGAAACACCCGTTTTAACGACACCCCCTGTCTTCAATTCGACACTGTCTTATATCCGGGCGATGACGGTACTCAACTCAACAATGCTTAAAACTTATTAGTCGATTACAATAGAGTGTAGAAGCTTATGTATGTTAAATGCCTCGTTGCTGTATTGAGTAAAAGATATCCTTACACTAGGCACAGGTTGTTGCAAGTCCACCCGCTATTTCCAGCTCCACCCACCACCCACTCGATTTGTGCTGTAGCATGGCATACTTATTGTGTCCCTCTGAGCTCGAGAAGGTTTTGCTGGAAGTACTAGTGAAGACACGCATGCTTTCTCATGAGGCAGAAGGACGAGGCATGGTCCACACCAGGCCTTCTGATGCACCATGCTGCCACCCCTCAGTACATGCTGCTGTGTGGCATTGGCACCTATTTTGCGCCCCTCTGAGCTCGAGAAGATGATGCTGGGGATGTAAGAGGCAGGCATGAGGACTGGTGATATGCAAAAACAAAGTGATGTGGGAACGGCAGAATGACAGGATGAACTAAAAGAATCGAGGAATGTGATCATGTATGTCATGAGAGGCACAGGATGACGTATAAGCCACAGCAGCACTAGGTGCAGTATCATGCCACGAGGAGGTGCTGAAGAGGAAAGACGGGATGAAGCAGCAAGAGATGCAGGGTGACAAGGACTAGAGAAACAATACGGGGATGTTGTGGTCGGGGGAAAACACGGCAAAACGCAGGAACGAGGAGGTGAATCGGACGCAGGCAACTGATGCTAGCAGTGATGAATGTGAGCACTCCATCCTCTCTCAACCTGGGCGGGTCTTACCAGTAAGGAGTACAAGAACACTAAGCGGTCTGCTGGATTACGGGAGGAGAAGAGAATTGAAAATGGGGAGGGGGGTTGGGTATGGGAGACGGGAGATGACAGAGGTTTGCCAAAATAAAAGGATTCGGATCGTCTAGTGACCACGTCCTCTTCCACCCTCTCCCACTCCACGTCGCACCCTTGCTCATCCCACACTCCTCCCAATGCATTCCGCCTCCACACTATCCCTCCAACCATGCCAAATGCCAACCTGCTACCCCCCTCCCCCCCCTCGCCCGTGTGCCTGCGCGAATGTTCGTATTGGTCAAACTGCCGCTCATGCTCTTTTCCCCCCTTCTCCACCCCCTTCACCCTCCCTCCCATTCTCCCGCCCATGCTGCCCCCAAGTCGTCTCCCAGCCGCGGCAGCGCATGGGGGGCGCGCAGCAGAGGAGCTAATGGTGCCGGTGCAGATGAGGCGTGCGGAGGAGGGGCTGGGGCGAGGGGCCTGGCACGGGCAGCAGGGGGAGAAATAGGGGAGCGGAGGTGCTGGTGGGACGAATGTGCAACGCGGAGAAGAATGTTGTACTGAGTAGACTGCCGAAATGTGGTGCGGGATGGCATGGCGTGGGTGGAGGGCAGTCACAGTGGTCGCGCATGCGCGAAACATACCCAAGGAGCGAGGGAGGGGGCGGCCGCTGAAGCAACGTGTTGGACACAACCCCCCACCATCCGTGGCACCACGAACGCCAATGTGCACACCCCCGTGTTGCTCTTGACTCTCTCTTCCCTCCTCCCCTTCCTCGCCCGCCCCCCTACCGCCCCCTCTGCCTGCCCCCCCTCCGCCCTGCCGCTCCATTGCGGCCGCCGCCCGTCTGCCCGCACTGACCACGACGCTTGCGGCTCCCAGGCGGAGCAGCCCGGAGGAGGAGCAGACAGCGGACGCGGGTGCTGCGTGGTTCATTTGGGCGAACGGCGCGACAGGGAGAGCAAGGAGCGGCGAGGATGGGCAACGAAAGGGGGAGGGAAGGAGAAGGAAGGTCAGATGAGGGCAGTAGGGGTAGGGAGAGGGGATTGGAGGTACAGACATGCAAGTTGGGGGGACGAGGCGCCGATGCACACACAAGCAGCAGCTACAGCTGCAGCAGCAGCGGCAGCGGCGGCGGCGGAAGCAGCTGCAGCAGCAGCAGGGACTCACCTTGCCCTCCCACCGGTTCACCGCTCTCTGGTTGGCGACCGCCGGCTCACCACTCGCCTCTCCAGGCTACTCACTCTCACGCCCCACCCCCCCGCACTCTTCTCCCCTGTGCTCTACGCTTCCCCCTTCCACTCATCCTCCCCCGCCCCCACCCCGCTCTCCTCTCCGCTGTCCACGGGGCACTGCCGGCTCGTCCATCAGCCACCACCGTGCTGCCACCGCCTCCCATGCCCTCGCGTCCTCCCCCTCGCTCAGGCAAGTTGCCGCGGAACAGGGACCAGGGGAGGAGACCATAGCAACGGCGCTGAGAACGGCGAAGCCTTTGGTGCCGCTGCACCTGAGCTGGGGCGCTCCTTCACCTGCGGGGGAGGCACGGCTGGGAGGGGCGTGGCGGCGCGGAGACGGATCGTGTGGGAGAGAACAAGGGGGTTTGGGGGTTGAGGGGAGGGGAAGGAAGGGTGAGGGGCGACGGGGAAGGGTAAAGAGAAGAAGGGGTGGCGGCAGGAGAGTTGTAATCTGTCACGCAAAGAGAACCTGTTGTGCCTGCTGCAGTATTGAGAGGCATATTCTCTTCACCACACCTGCCACTGATGCTGCACCTGCCTGGCCCTGTACCACGCTGTGTGTGGAGAGGCTGTGGGGGCAACCGGCGGAGCACAGCGGAGACGGAGGGGGGAATGGCGTGACCCGGGGGCGAGGACGGCCCTACCGGCATGGTGTGTCTGGCAAGTACGAAGCCGGGGTAGGCGGGGGGCGGAGAGGAGAGGGGCGACGGCATACCATGGCTTGCGCTGACAGAGAGAGACGGGCACGGGTGATCGGACGGCGGCAGGGACAGGGGGCACAGACGGCGCCTTCCCCAACAGCCACTGCGCCAGCCGCAAATCCACCTCTGCCACTTCCGCCCATGCCTCTCCGCCACCCACTCCCGCTAACACACCCTGCCACCGCTCACGCTTCCCCTTACCCTGCCTCTGCTGCACGCCTTGCCGCGACCACTGCGGCTGCAGATACTTGTTCCACCCGAGGCTGCGACCACCCAGCACGTGCATTGGCCCCGACAATGCGCCCCCCCTTTTGACTTCCCAGCACTGCCTGCATGTCCCACTCCTCCACCCTCGCCACCCTGCTCCCCACCCGAGGCCCCCCCCGAATACATTCCGCGCCATCCCCTCCTCTCCGCCCCTGCCCTGTTCCGCCAGCGTCACCGCCGTCAACCCTCATCACCGCACCCCGCTCCTCTTGCGCCCTTCGCATCCGCCCCGCGAAAGCAATCTACCCTGCTGACCCTGCGCAGCTTTCGCCTGCTTATCTCACCACTCCCTGCGCCTGCCCCTGGCTTTGCCGCATCATCTGCATAATTTGCCATACCCTTGCGAGCGCTGAGAACTGGTAGCGAAGGGGAGCGATGACAGAAGCAGCATGTCTGCCCCTCTCGCGGCCTCTGCATAGCAGGTGCTGCCAGGAAAAACACACACGGGGAAGAGTCGTAGGGATTGAAAGCCGGTAAATATGAGAAGGGCTAATGGGAATAATGGGAAGTGATGAGAGGGACTGCCCCTCTCGCCACCTCTGTATTGGCTGACTGAAACCGTCGCCAGGTGCTGCCAGAAACGCACTGGATGGGGGAGGCGAAGGGGTGGAAAGGGGCTGAGTGCGGTAGCGATGGGAGGGGGAGATTGCCTGCACGGGCGAGAGGGCTAGCAGGTGCTGCCGCATAAAGAGAATTGGGGGCGACAATGTGGGAGCGATGGGGGGGGGGGCAATGGGGGTGTGATGGGGGACCGAGTAGGAGAACGGGATGGGGGAACGGGTTGGGGAAACGGGATGGGTGACGGGATGGGAGCAATCGGATGTGTGGCATGGGATGGTAAGCACGACAGCACGCACCTACCTCAGGGTTTAGGGTTTGCAGCAGAGCCATGAGCCGTGCAAGCTCGCTTGCGCCCTGCACCAGCCGCTTGAAAGGGCGTCTCCGCTTCCACGGAGCGGCGAGCCATCAGTGCTTGCAGCAGTATCTTGTTCACCTTCTCATCAATGCTCGCCTCCAACCCCGCCACCGCCCTCTCCGCCTCGCTCAACACTGATATCAACACCTCTTCGCGCCTCTTCGCCCTCGTTTCTAGAGCTTCACTTGCTTTCCTGTCGCCCTCTCTCTTCTTATTCGCCTCTTCCTCTCCCACTCTCCTCCTTCCTTCTTCTCTCATTCTGTTCCTCTCTTCCTTCCTCACCCTCTTCCTCTCTTCCTCTCTCATCCTGTTTCGTACTACCTCACTCCTCCTTTCATACTCTCTCTCTCCCTTTCTCTCTTCCTCCTCCAACTTCTCACACTCTTCCTCTCTCTTCCTCTCGTATCTCACCCTCCTCACTTCCTCTCTTACTCTCCTCCATCTGCCCAAGCCTCTCCGCAAGTCTCGCCGACGCGCCAACCTCCACGGCGCACAGCAAGCACCATCGGCTCACGCCCACGTCCCAAAAATTGGGGGCCCCTGTTGTAACCGCAAGCTAACCCTAAACTTCCCTTGAGGTAACCTGCCAGCGTGTTACCTGCAGGTGCTCGTCCAGGTAACATACGAAGTTACCACTTGCCCACGATGTGACCTACGGGGTCACCTACAGATCGGGGGCCTATGTAACCACGAACTCAACACGGTTCACGCTAGTCCGACTCGCACGAGTCGTTTTGATTGGTCCATATTAGGACCGTAACCAGGGAAGTAACCAAAATACACTCACCTTGTTAGACACATATATATGCATATGGTATATTATCACAAATTCGTAAACAATTAAATATATTTTTGTTCTGATTAAAATATTTTAATTGGTATTAGCTACAATAACATGGAAGCTACTCGAGCACACAATTGATTTCAACACCAATTTTTGTTTTACAACCCCAGAAGAAATCCTAACATTTGTCTACACATAGCCGTGCATTCTCACATCTGCAATCTATCCAGAAACAACGTAAGACATGCGCTACTCTATACACAAACATAGAAATAACCATTTGGTAAAAAATGGACTTTATCGTAACTAACATCCCTGTAACAAGCTGCAACTCTGCAAGAAGCACAAACGTTAGTTAAAGAAGCAGCATAAGTCAAAGGGACTTAATAACTTACCTGCTACAGAGTGAAGATGTTGGAACCATTCTATCTGCAAACAGAATAATGCCATCTGCAAAACAAACGTGTCCACTTAACAGCAAACATGCCTCTTACAGGATCACTAACAGACTTGTTAACATCGTTATACGAACGCTGCAAGCGTATATACATGAAAGCGATGGCTACGAAATACGTAAACCAACTTACCGACGATGGCGGAATTCGCAAGTGGAAGAGAACCTTTAATTCACCATAATCGAGTTGTCTATACTCCTGTCAAGAGACACAGGGGAAACAGGCAAATAAGGAAACGCTTTAAAAGATGTACGACACTAATAATGACACTGCGTGCGCTCGAAAATCGAGCAAGCATCGCTAATAACATGAGTCCTAGCAGCAACGCGACTTGTACAATCAAGAAATAAGCTGCGAGCGTAGCGAGGGATGTCGAAAGATGAAAGACAAGAAATGCATCAAGAAATGAACAGCGAGAGTATAGAAGGGGGAGATGGGGACGAAGGTGCAGGGAGAGGTGGGTTGGTGTGGAGAGGTGGCGAGGGGCAGTAAAGTTTCAAGGGATGCAATATGGCGCAAGAGGATTCGCCCAAACGTGAAATTCTGCAACGTGGCGTGTAGATTTTGCACGCTGTGTCATTCTGTGTTAGCTGGCAGTCAACACACGCAAGCAACCTGCCCGAACATGCCTGTGTGGGTGCAGTATATGGACAAGAACCAAACTTGGGTTTAGCTTTCCTGACCTGGAAGTACAGCGTGGCTGTTGTAAAATATCGCAATCACGGAGCTGTGCTGGACAAGCTGCATTGGTGGAGTGGTTGGACTTTAGGAGCAGTAACATTTTCACTTCTTGTTACCGTAGGCGTGATTTCGTTTTGACGAGAAATGCTTTCGCCAGTTGTCGGTTGGATTATTTGGGGCCTGAGGCAAGTGTGTGGTACAATTTGCAGCCATTTTGTAACTTCGTGGCATGTTTGGGGTGAGTTCTAGCCATGTTTTTGTAGGTAGCCGCGAGGTAACCTGCGTTGGGGGTGAGTTGGGCCCCCCCACAATTTTTGAGAAGCATCAGCTGCCCTAGCGACAGCTCCTCCGCGCTCCCCGCTCCGCCGCCCATCATGCCGCTCGCGCGCATGGCCACGTCGACCTGCCGCCTCCGCGCATGCATTCCGCCTCCGCCGTACTCCCTCGTTTCCCCACCCCCCGCCTCTGCGCTTTCCCAGTTCTCTGCAGTCGCACCCTTCTCAGCACAGCATCTGCGCTTTCCGCGCTGCGCCTCACCGCGCAAATCGCCGCAAAGATTCCAGCCGTTCATCCTCTCTCATATGTTCTTTGCTGATGCCCTGGGGCAAAAGGAAAGGTGATTTCTGCTTTACGTCCCCCAAATGCGCTCCTTCTATTCCACCTTGTTCCCACCAGAGCCGTGCCAGGGCCAGAAAGGCGGCCTTCTAATGCGACCCTGAAATGTGGCTTTGAAATTGGATCTTGATGCGACAGGTGTGCCGCGACGGCGAGGAACGAAGTAGGACTGAAGATCTGAGGCGCGCCAAACGAAACAACAAAATACTCCCTGATCGAAAGAAACCGATAGCATGGGAGAAAGGGAAGCCAGGGCGGGGAGTAATAGGCCTGAGGACGCGGTGAAAGTAGACGATCGATGTGTGAAACGGTTACCCTGTTTTCAGGCAAGTAACCTCAGATACAGTGACAATTTTAGACAGAATACACAAACATTCAGACAGGATGACTGATCGTCTATCAATTGCGGCATCGCTGGGAAGCAAATGCCGACGAACCAAACATTACAGTGATGACAGATCCAAGTGCTTGCGACGCGAAAGTATTTCGCTAAGCGGGTGAAATGAGTCGTCCAAGGCTATCCCTTCGCCGGCGAATTGAACACAAGGCTCAACAGTTTTTTCCGATCGTTACAACGCCGGGTGTGCATCGTTTCACCGATCAATTCCCCAAAGCGATCGTGAAAATCGATATTCTCTCACGATCCTCCGAATATGTCACTTGCACCGCGTCATGAGTGGTGCAGGGGGTGAGGCTAGGGTGAAAGGCCTTGTTCTGTAGGGCGTTATTGGAACTCCGCATTTTTAAGTTTCGGTAGTATCAATCTGTATAGACCTTATCGGTTGGACTCACAAACGAGGACAAGGAAGTTTGTGCGGCGAACGCTGTAGTTCCTCGCCAATTCGTTTCGCTGTCGCCCCGCGCAACTAGCCGAAATTTTTAATTCCCCAACACCGTCGCCAACAGTTTTTAGGGGGACCTCGGGACCTGGAAACCAACTTCAGTACACCTGTTCCGCGATAATTTCACACCGTATAATTTCACACCGCGCTTCGGTGCTCCTGGCTCAACCACGGGCCGCAGATCAGTCGAAACGCAGAGGGACATTGGGCCATTTCGGCGAGAAATGACCCCTTTATACTTCCGAGCTGTGCGATGTGTTGGGTCCAGTCTTCTGTAAAAATGTGAGGCCGTGATTTTAACGTTCAATGTCGAGTTTGTTTCAGCCTGAGTTCCCACAGAAATCAAACTCTTGCGTCTGTGATTCGGTGATCATTTGATGTGTCACTCGAAGGACTGAAACAAGATACTTCATAACGAAATTGGCGAGGGCCTGATTTGTGCTGGCTCTAACTCTGCCCAGTCAAATTCTGACGTGGTGTTCATTCATTGGATCGGGAAATTTCCAAAGATCCTCACGAGATTCCTGTCCATGTCAGCACATCCCAGCCGCGGTTCGAGTGTGAAATTAGAAGGAAGAAATTTCTTACCCCAAATTTCACACCCCCTCGGGCAAATCTCCACGCGGTTCGGGAGTTTCAGGGTGTGAAATTATCGCGGAACAGGTGTATCCTGAATTCGGGTTTTGACAAGTCTCTCTCTCAGGAGATCGTGTTTCAGCCATGACAACATCAGTCCATCCGGGCCCTGGTGGCTTCGAACCCACCAGGTCCCCCTCCTGGTGGGAACCCGTTCCCACCAGGGCCGCACGCCGATGCAAGGGCTGTCGCGACCCCCAGCTGGGAACCGCACGCGGGAGGGAGTCCCCCGCCCCCTCCCAGGTCCCTAGCGAGATCCGGGCGGCGGAGCGGGCTGGCGGGGTGGTCCCGGCCACGCCAGCGCCACGCAGCGTGGTCCCAACCCCGGGCCCAGCCCTGGCTCGCGAAACCCCTCGCGAAACCAATCCGAGGGCGAGGGCCGAACCCCGGCGCGCCGAGACGGATCCGGCCAATCGGAGCCGTTTCCGACTGGTCCGCCCCTCGGAAGAGCCCTCGCGAAGCATTTCGCATGCGAATCCGCGCGTGCGAATGGCAGTTCGGGCTGGCCGAAACGGATTCGGCCAATGGGAGCCGGTTTACGCCATCTCCGTGCAGCACGAAACGGAGCCGGCCAATCGAAAGATCAAACGGAAAGATCAAACGAGAAAAAAAAAAAAAATTACTTTATGCATCGGATGGACAATATTAATGTTTACTTTATGCATCGGGGAAACATTCAGTTTAATAACGGAGTAAACTGAGAAATAACGGAGGTTACCAGGTTACGTGTAATATAACGGAGTGTACTGTTAATTCGGGTGACCCTAAGTCGGACCTCGCCGGTCGCGACGAGGAAAATTATCTCTTCGCGGGAGTTGGCAGCCCGCTCCGAACGGGGCTCGCGGATGGTGTGCAACGTGGCGGACGTTGGATGCACAAGCGTGCATGTTGCGGAACCTCCCCGCAGGGTGAGAGGCCCGCGCGGTGCGACCGCGAGTGCCGTCTCTTGTTTCCATATCGGCCCACTCTTAGGTTCTCGGTACGGGCACCTGGTGCTCATTTTCGTTCTCCGTCTTCACATCTTGTTCTCTTCCTGCTCGCCCGTTCCACGTAGAGGTCCTCGTCGCCTAGTGCTAGCAGAGACTCTGATTGGCCGCGCTCGCGCTTGGTAGCGTCTAGCGTAGCTCATATTTTCTGCCGCGAGCACATTTTCGCGAACCGTTCGTCCTAGATTCACGCGAGCACTGTGTCGCGTACGTTTCGTCCTCGTGCTTTTGCGGTCGTACCAGTAATGAGCCGCGAAAT